AACTGTGAGACAGTTCTCCACGTCCCTCCTCCCCCTTATTCACCTTCCATTTGTTCTTCAATCCTCTACCATTTGGCTTCTGCCTCCACCACTTCCCTAAAATTATTCTCACCAAGGCCACTCAGCAATGGTAGTCATTAGAGAAGACAACAGCAGTGTTATGGGTCTCTGTTTATCACTTGTTTTTGTCCCTCCCTCCCTCCCTACATACACTCTATACTCCCACACTCCCTGCACCCCCTGGTCTTTGGTGTGTGGTTTCTTTCTTTCTTTCTTTTTTTAATATATTTTATTTATTTTTTACAGAGAGGAAGGGAGGATAGAGAGCTAGAAACATCAATGAGAGAGAAACATTGATCAGCTGCCTCCTGCACACTCCCCACTGGGGATGTGCCCACAACCAATGCACATGCCCTTGACCGGAATCGAACCCGGGGGCCCTTCAGTCCGCAGACGGACGCTCTATCCACTGAGCCAAACCGGTCTTGGCAGGTGGTTTTTCTTTTCTGTTTTTGTTTGAGGAATGTTGGAAGCTTTGCCTTGGAATTGACATCTCCCAGGGGCAACCCTTGGTCAACAGTTAAGGGGTGTTGGTGTTGGTATATGTAAGGCCCACTTCCCTCCTTTCCTGACAAACCTGAGGCATAACTTAACATCCAAAGCGCATGGGGTGAAGCTGCCTGAGGTTACCTGCCTCCTTGGTTTCCTCTCCTGCTCTTCCCACTCCCTTCCTGGTTTCTTCTCATAGCACTTTTTTTTTAAAATATATATTTTATTGTTTTATTTAGAGAGAGGAAGGGAGAGAGATAGAGAGCTAGAAACATCAATCAGCTGCCTCTTGCACACCCCCTACTGGAGATGTGCCCGCAACCAAGGTACATGCCCTTGACCAGAATCGAACCCGGTCCCTTAAGTCCACAGGCCAAGGCTCTATCCACTGAGCCAAACCGGTTTCGGCTCGTAGCACTTTTTAAGTAAATCATTTGCACACAAATCCTCATCTCAGGGTCTGCTTCTGGGAAACCTGACCCAAGACATCATCTCTGCGTATTTTTTACTCCTCTTTCTTTGTCTCGTTCCCCGGCATTAGGCTCTGGCCCTCCTCTTTCTACATATATTACTTGGACAATGTCACTCATATCTATGGGTTCAACCATTGTCATGTCTGATGACCACTGAACTGCTTTGTGCAGTTCAGACCATTGGTCCATCTCTACTGCAGCGCTCCACTTGGTTGGCCACAGACGCCTCCTGTACTAACACTGTAGTCACTACCCACATGTTCTTTGTGACAGGCACTTAGACATGAGCAGAGCAAGGGCAAAAAATTATTTCCAAAAATCGGGACTTCTTTAAAACACCACGGGACACGGGACAAACTGTTAAAAATCGGGACTGTCCCGCCCAAAGCGGGATGTCTGGTCACCTTAGCTCACACATTTCCAAATGTGGCCTCATCACCAGCCCCTCACTTTCCTTGTATTCCTCCTCTATCCCTGTCCTAGACCATGATGGGCCAACTACAGACAAAGTGTGTGCTCAGGTACCAGGAAGATGACCACAGAACTAAGATCTTTTTCATTGATCCTCGTTCTCTGAACCGGCAAGATGGGTGGACAAAGATGGATGGAGACATTAACAAAGGCTCTCTGTGAACTGAGGTTTGGTTAGAGCAGAGGCTGGGGGGCCCAATGCTGGCTAGGCCACAATGAATTTTTCCAACTGCTTCAGGCAGCCTCAGCCACACAAACATTCCCGTGTGAGTTAAGGCATATACCCACCGCCAAACTCTTGGGTCACTTGCCTCTGTATTCTAGGATGTGCACTGACTCCAAACCAATCAGCTATAGTCAGTTCTGGAAATATCGCAAATCTCGGAAAAGAGGCATGTTCTACTAGAGTTACTGAGCTATTAGGGCTTAACGTTTGGCGCTATGGAAAGCCATTCTGCCGCTGAGAGGAGAGCCTGCCTAGAGTGAAGCCGAAGAGCCTGGAGAAAGTGAACCACAGGTTCCTGGTATCTTTTGGCCCTTTTTAAAAATATATATTTTATTGATTTTTTACAGAGAGGAAGGGAGAAGGATAGAGAGTTAGAAACATCGATCAGCTGCCTCCTGCACACTCCTCACTGGGGATGCGCCCGCAACCAAGCTACATGACCTTGATGGGAATCGAACCCAGGACCTTTCAGTCCGCAGGCGCTCTATCCACTGAACAAACCGGTCAGGGATTGGCCTTTTTATTAGGTAGTCCTGAAGAAGTTTGGCCTACTCTGGGATTTTCAATTGCTTGAGCAAGTAAGTGACCTTATTGCTTAGGCAAGTTGGGGTTGGTCAAAGAGAAACCGGACGGAGAGAGGTCTCTTTGTGCTCGATTTAAGCTATCCTCTCCACCCCTTAATGATCCTCAGTGTCTGAGCCTGGCCTCGATGGCTCTCCTGAGCTCCAAGCTGTACGTCCACCTGCCTCCGGAAGGCCACGGACACGTCCCAAACCGACATTACTTCTGGTTCTCTCCCCGAGCCCTGCCTTTACTTCCCAACTCGGAGATGGACCCTCTAGTCCGTTTCCTCAGAGAAGGCAAGGGCGCCAGTTCAGGCCCCGCCTCCTCGCGGGGCCTTACCAAGGTCACCCCCATCTTCCCGGGACCAGTTCCCGGGGATGCCGCCCGGCCAGGCGCTCTAGGCGGCCGCGCTCGGGCCTCCCGAGAAGCCGCTCAGCTCGCAGACTCGGGGCCCCTCTAGCCTCCAGCCGGCCTCGCGGCTTTCCCCGCTGGAGAGGCTCCCGAGGCCGACTGCTCTCCTCGGCCCCCAACTCCCTCAGCGGGACGCAGTCCTCCCAGGGGCCGCGGCGTCCCCGAAGCCTCCGGAAGCGCACCCTCCCCGACCCCAGGGCGGAGCGGAGCGGAGTGGGGGGATGGCGGAAGTGAGCGCGCAGGCGCCCTTCCCTCCCGCTCTTCTCTATGGTCGCTTCCTCCGGTGACGGGAAGGGGTCCCGGAGCCTGCGCAGAGCCGGGCTGGGAGGCCGTCGCGGGGTGGGGGGAGGGGCAGGGAGCGGGAGCTGCCGCCGCCGCCGGAGCTAACCGCGGGGACCGAGATGCAGGTGGGACCGGAACCGGAACCCCCCTCTCCAAGTCCTCCTTTCCTCCTCTCCGAGACCCGGCCGGCGCCTCCGAGAAGCCCCGGGTGGGAGCGGGCGTGGGGGCCCCCGCGGCAGGGGGGCGCTCGGCGCGGAGTGCCGGAGGCGGGGTGGCCCCCAGGAGACTGCGGCCCCAGGGGATGGGTGGGTAGAGGGTGTCCGGGGAGCGGGGTCGGGCCGGTGGGTTGCAGCGGGCCCGGAGGTCCAAGCCGGGAGCGGAGCCTGCACCCTCCGCCACCCGCCCTTCGGGGAATATCAGAACCGAGCCAAGAGGCAGGTGCACCGGGCAGATGGGTCTGAGTCCTGTGTGACAGGAGAGAAACTGAGTCACCAGCTCGGGAGCCGCAGGGTCGGGCGCCGGGGCCGCCGGTGGCGCGGGCGGCGGGGTGGGCCTGGAGCGGAGGGGCCTGGGCCTGGAGATCGGCTTCTCTTCTGTGTCCGCACCTCTTGGCTCGGGCCCCTGTGCTCCATGACTCCGGCATCTCCTGGCTCCTTGGCGTTGGTTTGGGATGGTCCCTGTGCTCGGAGCATCTGAGCGTGTAGGCCTAGGCCGAGGAGGACGGGGAGGGGGTGCTGACCGCGGGTCTGAATAGGAGTCTGAGGTTTTGGGGAGACCTTCCTAAGCTGCCTTCACCGCAGTCCTGGTGCCAGTCATTGTCCGCTATAATATGGGGGAGGAGCGCTAAATCCCATGTCCAGCTCTGCCATTTGCTAGGTGTGAGGCCTCGGGAAATCTCTTCCTTCTCTAATTCTCCTTTAGAAGATTGGAACCCATAGAGATAGCAGTAATGGTAGTCGTTCGTTTTGCGCTAACTTTGTGCCAAGCACTGGTGTAGTCTACTTAATTCTCCTGATAGACACAAAGCTGAGGCTCAGAGAGGACATGCCATTTGTTCAAGCTTACACAGCCAGTAGGTGTCTGACTCCATAGCCCATGGCCTTAACCAGCAGACTCGCCAGCCTTTAGGGCGCACTCCCCAGTGAGAGCAGAGAGAGGGGAAACGTCTGGAGGCCCCTGCACCCCGTTTTATTTCGTTGGTGGCCAGCAAAGACCTGCCCTGACCCAGCCTCGTAGCCTTTGCTCACCCGGTGCTGCGGCCTCCGAGCTCCGGACGGAAGGGGCGACACAGAAGTGGGCTGTGACCATTCCAGGCCTTCTCCACACAGGGCTTGGGTGCCAGGCCCGGGGGTCAGCTTTCAAGACCATTGCTGTTCCAACCCATCCTCCACCCGTCCTCCATGAGCAGCCTCCCTGAGAGCGGGCTCTCGGGCTACGTGAGGCAGGGTCTGGGAGCTCTGTAGGCCCAGCTCCTCTGAGCACGGGGCAGAGAGCGGCCATGCCTGAGGTTGCCCCAGCGAGCCCCTGAAGCTTTGGAGCCTCAGTCTCCTCACCTGTCATAGAGGTGATTAGAATCTCCCACAGGGAAGGTAAGAACGGCACCTGCGAAGCCTAGATAACCCTCGACGGGTCTGTCTTAGAGCAGGGAGATGCTTTTTAGAGGAAGGTGCTCCGCGGCTCTTTATCACTCCTGGAACCGAAGCCTGGAAAGTGGGTTGGGAAGGCGGCAGGGCGGGTGCCGCGAGGCACTGGGGAGCCGGTCCACTGGGCTTGCGGGATGCGAGGGTCCCGGGAGGGGCAGGGGAGCAGGTGATGTTCTTCCCCTTTGCTCTCCGATGGGTCTGGACCAGAGTAGGGCGTCCGGCTCGGGTGGGACGCTGCCCGCAGCCCCACCTCAGCAGTGACTCCGTGTCTGTGCCTCTCTTTCTTCCGCAGCTGCTGCCGCTCACCCCGCGTCTTCTGGCCGCTCCCCTCTTTGCAGCCCCTCCCCACAGGCTCCCCCTCTCCGCCTCCTGGGGACCATCATGAATGGTGCCCCTTCCCTGGAGGACGGGGCCTTCCCCTCTCCTCCTCCCTTGCCACCGCCCCCTCCCCCTAGCTGGCGGGAGTTCTGTGAGTCCCATGCCCGGGCCGCTGCCCTGGATTTTGCCCGCCGTTTCCGCCTGTACCTGGCCTCCCACCCCCAGTACGCAGGCCCCGGGGCCGAGGCCGCCTTCTCCCGCCGTTTTGCCGAGCTCTTCCTGCAGCATTTTGAAGCCGAGGTGGCCCGGGCGTCCGGTTCTCTGTCGCCCCCCGTCCCGGCCCCTCTGAGTCCGGGTGCGGAGAGCCCGCCGCATGACCTGTCCCTCGAGAGCTGCAGGGCGGGCGGGCCCCTGGCCCTGCTGGGCCCTTCTCGCTCGTCCGAGGACCTGGCCGGCCCCCTCCCTTCCTCCGTCTCTTCCTCTTCTACGTCCTCCTCCTCCTCGAAGCCGAAGCTCAAGAAACGCTTCTCCCTCCGTTCCGTGGGCCGCTCCGTCCGAGGCTCCGTCCGCGGCATCCTGCAGTGGCGGGGCAGCGTGGACCCTCCCTCCCCCGCGGGGCCCCCGGACGCCGCCCCGGGCCCCCCGGTGTTAGGGGGCAACAGCAACTCCAACTCCTCCGGTGGGGCCGTGGCCACCGGCAGGGGACCGGCGAGCGACGGGACATCCCCCGGGGACAGATGGACTCACCGTTTCGAGAGGCTGAGGCTCGGCCGGGGAGGAGGGGCCTTGAAGGATGGAGCAGGGATGGTGCAGAGGGAAGAGCTGCTGAGTTACATGGGGGCTGAGGAGGCAGCCCCTGACCCGGCGGGAGTGGGCCGGGGCGGGGGCGCAGCGGGGCCTGCCTCCGGGGCGGGAGGGCAGCCTCAGTGGCAGAAGTGTCGCTTGCTGCTTCGGAGTGAAGGAGAAGGAGGAGGAGGAGGAAGCCGCCTGGAGTTCTTTGTGCCACCCAAGGTGAGACCCAGAGGAGGGGTGACTGGCAGAGGGTGGGTGAGCTGCCGAAGTGTAACAGCCCACATACATAGCTCGGCTTACTTTGTTTTTTGTTCGTTTTGTCTTTTACATCTTTATTGATTCCAGAGAGGGGGAGAGAGGTAGAAACATCAATGATGAGAGAATCATTGATCAGCTGCCTCCTGCATGCCCCCTGATGGGGATCGAGCCCACAAACGGGGCCTGTGCCCTGACCCAGAATCTAACCGTCACCCTAGTTCACAGGTTGATGCTCAACCACTGAGCCAGACCAGCCAGGCTTTGTTGTTGTTGTTTTTTTCCTGATAAAAAACAGCACTGTTTATTGAATGTTTTTTAAAATAAATCTTTATTGTTCATATTATTACAAATGTTCCTCTTTTTCCCCCCACTTCGTTGCTCTCCTCCACCAGGTTCCCACCCCACCCTCTGCCCTTTCCCTACCCCCCATTGTCCCCATCCATAGGTGCACAGTTTTTGTTCAGTCTCTTCCCACATCCCCTCTCCCTTTTTCCCCAAGAATCGTCAGTTCACTCCCCTTCCATACCTCTGATTCTATTATATTCACCAGTTAATATTGTTCATCAGATTTTTTTTTAATTTCCTTGGTTTTTAGATTCACTTGTCGATAGTTACATATTTGTTGTTTATAATTTTTATCTTTATTTACTTTCTCTTCTGAAAGAACCCCCTTCAGCAATTCATATAATTCTGGTTTGGTGGTGATGAACTCCTTTAGCTTTTTTTTTTTATTAGTGAAGCTCTTTATCTGGCCTTCGATTCCGAGTGATAGCTTTGCTGGATAGATTATCTTTGGCTGTAGGTTCTTACTATTCATCACCTTGAATATTTCTCAGGCTTTGTTTTTTAAAGCTAGCTCCTGACTCTGAGCAGGACTGAAAGAGGAGTGTTACTCCTTTCTGTCCAATCCCCTTAGGCTGTCGAAGGAAAGATGGAGGGAAGGGGAAGATGGTCTTTACCACCAAAGCTCTGGGTCTTGTTCTCTTCCACCCTAGGCATCTCGGCCTCGGCTCAGCATCCCCTGCTCTACCATCACGGACGTGCGGGCGACCACCGCCCTGGAGATGCCGGATCGCGAGAACACGTTTGTGGTTAAGGTGGGAGCCGGGAGCCCCCCGCCCCAGGAGCACTCATGTTGGGGAGAAAGCATTCAGGACAGGAGAGCCAGGGCGCTGGTGGGAGGAGGTGCATGCACGTCAGGCTCCCTGAGCGCAGGTCCCTGAAGCTGCAGCTCCTCTGGGGGCAGGGGAGAGAGGCAGGAAGTTCTGTTCTCAGCGGGGTGCCTGAAGGCCTTGGAACTGGCAGTTGGACCGCCTCTTGTCCCGTAGGTGGAAGGCTCCTCCGAGTACATCCTGGAGACAGCGGACGCTCCACACGTGAAGGCCTGGGTGTCTGACATCCAAGAATGCCTGAGCCCGGGGTGAGGAACCTCACTCCTGCACTGAGGAAGCCGGGGCTGGGCGGGACAGCCTGGCCTCTCCCCTGGTGACATTCCTGCCAGCACCATTTCCCTGTCCCTGCAGGCCCTGCCCTGCTACCAGTCCCCACCCCATGACCCTCCCGCTGGCCCCTGCGACCTCGTTTCTGACGAGAGAGAACACAGACAGCCTGGAGCCGCCCTGCCTGCACCACTCGGAGAGTCTGCCCAGCCAGGACCTGCTGCTGGGCCCCAGCGAGAGCAACGACCGCCTGTCACAGGGTAAGGCAGCCTCCGAGCGTGAGCCTCCGACTGCCGGAGAGACCCCTTCCTGCCCTCAGCTGCCCACCCCACCCTCCAGTGTTTGTCTTTTGTCCCGGAACATGCTGAACCACAGATAGGACCGTCAGCATCACAACTCACACAAGCTCCAAGGAAACCCCTCGCCGCCTTCCCTGCCCAGCCTGTCACCTTTCCCGTAAGCCTGGTGCAGACAACACCCTGGCTGCAGATACAGTTCTCGTCTCCAGGCTTCCAGAACACACTTTGTTTTGCTCTTACTCTGTGTCTCTGTGCACGTGTCAACGACACCAGTTTTCTTTTGCTGGTACTTCTTACCTGACTGAGCACATTCATACCCTCACCCACACACACAGGCACAGAGACTGTAAATCTACCTGATCCCGCTCACCTTTCTAGACTCCACTACACCCTTCCCTCATGACCGCCATTCCGAGCTTCAATGTCCCAGTGCCTAGCATATAACTACAGGTTGTGCGCGGTGAGTAAAACGGATGATAGAATCTTAAAGCTAGAACAGACCTCACTAGCCATCAGTTCTAATCCCCTTGGTTCTCAGGCAGCTAACACCAAGGAGGAGAGATGGCTTTCCCAATGTCACCTGGGCGTCACTACCAAAGATGGGCTCCGCCAGCTTGGTGCCTGAGCCACTGCGCTCTGCCCTGCACACATCCTCATCCGAGCGGTGACTGGACAGCATTCCCGCCTGCCACTCAGCAGACATTCGGGAATGCCCTAGTACCCACCTGGCTCTGTGCCAGGCTCGGGCAAGATGGAGATGCAGACATGCCTGAAATTAGCTTCTTGCTCTCCATGGGCTCACAGTCTATCTGAGCAGACAAGACATCTAAAAAGCAGGACGTGCCTTGGGAGCTCAGAGGAGAAGAGGATCAGGGCTAGAAGGGGGATTTTTTGAAAAAATTTTTTTCATTGATTTGAGAGAGAGACAGAAACATCAATGATGACAGGGAATCGTTGTATGCCTCCTGTATGTTGAACCGAGCCCCCAACCCAGGCATGGGCCCCTGACCAGAATCGAACCTGGGACCCTTTGGTCCATAGGCCAACACTATCCACTGAGCCAAATCGGCTAGGGCATAGAAAGAGGATCTTTGATGCCTCTGAGAATTGGAGGCTTTGTCCTATTGATCAAAAAAAGGACCCCTCCCTTTTTTTTTTATTTTGCCAGGGTCTGGGCAGGGCCTCCATTTAAAAAATATGTTTTTATTGATTTCAGAGAGAGGAAGGAGGAGAGAGAGAGAGAGAGAGAGAAAGAGAAACAATGATGAGAGAGAATCATTGATTGGCCATCTCCTGCATGCCCCCTACTGGGGCTGGAGCCTGCAACTGGACATGTGCCCTGATGGAAATCTATCCATGACCTCCTGGTTCATGAGTCGATGCTCAACCACTGAGCCACACTGGCTGGTCAAGTTGAGACCCCCTTTAAAAATTTTGTTTGTTTTATTAATTCTCACCTGAGGGTATTTTCCCATTGATTTTAGAGAGAGTGGGAGGGAAGGGAAGAGACAGAAACATCGACGTGAAAGATATACATCAATCGGTAGCCTCCCACACACGCCCTGACCAGGGCCAGGGGTTGTGCCTGCAACCAAGGTACGTGCCCTTGACTGGAATCGAACCGAGAGCCTTCAGTCTGCAAGCTGATACTCTTATCTACTTAGCCAAACCAGCTAGGGCGGGGGGCCCATTTTTAATGCAGAAATATTTGTCTCCATTTCTACTAGCAATTCAAAAGATAGAGGCTCCATGGCCGGTGTGACTCAGTGGTTAGAGCATCGGCCCTCACACCAGTGGGTTAGGGTTTTGGTTTCCAGTTAGGACACATACCTGAATTGCAGGTTGTTTGGTCCTCTGTCCCGGTCTGGGTATGTGCAGGAGGCAGCCAATTGATGTGTCTCTCACATTGATGTTTCTTTCTCCCCTTTCCTCCTTCCCTTCCACTTTCTAAAAATCAACGGAGCCCTCGCCTTTTTGGCTCAGTGGTTAGAGGGTTGGCCTGGGACCGAAGGGTCTCAGGTTTGATTCCTGGTCCAGGGCATGTGCCTCAGTTGCAGGTTCCCCAGCCCCGGTGGGGGCACAGGCTGGAGGCAACCGATCAATGCCTCTCTCATGTTGATGTTTCTCTCTCTCCCTTTCTCCCCCTCTCCCTTCTTCTCTCCTTCCCATCTCCCTCCCTTCCACTCTCTCTAGAAATTAATGGAAAAAATATCCTAGGGTGAAGATTAAAAAAAAAATAATAATAAAAATCCATGAAAAGATATCCTCAGTGAGGATTAACAGCAATAAGAGAGGTAGAGGCACTTTTGAATGCTAGGGCCTCCTTTCAGTACCTAATCCCTGAGCAGTGTGTGCAGCCTAAGTTAGCTATTGGTGGGAAAACATCCGGGTCCCTCCCTGGAGCAGGATCCAGCATTTCAGCCAGCTGACCCTGCCAGTCCAGGGCGGGCTAGTGGGAGGTGGCCCAGGCAGACCACACTTGTCAAAGAGTAGTTTCTCTAGTCCTAGCTGGTTTGGCTCCATGGATGGAGTGTTCAGACCCTGCGGACTGAAGGGTCCCAAGTTAGATTCGGGGCAAAGGCACAAGCCTAGGCTGCTGGCTCAATCCCCAATAGGGGGTGTGCAGAAGGAAGCTGGTCAGTGATCATCTCTCATTATTGACTTGTGGCCCGGTGCACAGATTCATGCACAGGTGGGGTCTGGCTGGCCCCGTTCCCTGGTCAAACTCCCAGTCGAAAGGACAATTTGCATATTGGCCATTTTTAAAAAAATATATTTTATTGACTTTTTACAGAGGGGAAGGGAGAGGGATAGAGAGTTAGAAACATTGATCAGCTGCTTCCTGCACATCCCCCACTAGGGATGTGCCCGCCACCAAGGTACATGCACTTGACCGGAATCGAACCTAGGACGCTTCAGTCAGCAGACCAACGCTCTATCCATTGAGCCAAACCGGTTACAGCCATTAGCCTTTTATTATATAGAATGTTTCTACCTGTCTCTTCCTTCCTCTCTGAAATCAATAAAGGTATGTTAAAAAAAAAAATAATAAGTAGCTTCTCCAGTTCTCAACTTTGCCTTCCTGTTTTTTTCCAGGGGCATATGGGGGCCTTTCAGACCGCCCTTCAGCATCCATCTCCCCCAGCTCTGCCTCCATTGCTGCCTCCCATTTTGACTCCATGGAACTGCTTCCCCCAGAGTTGCCACCCCGCATCCCCATTGAAGAGGAACCCCCGGCTGGAACAAGTCATCCCCTCCCCACCCCGTACCCATCCCTGGACACTCCAGAAACAGCCACAGGTACCAGAGTGTGAGTGTGTGTCTGCAGGCGTGGTTGCCCACCTCCTGAACCTTGTCCTGGGATCCGGAGGGCGCGGACCGGGGCCGGGAAGTGACCCCGGAAGGGGAAGCCAGGCTTTTCTCCCAGGATCGGGGAGGCTTCCTTGACACCCAGGTTTCCCTCCCTCTCTCCTTCCTGAAGGGTCATTCCTGTTCCAGGGGGAGTCGGAGGGAGGTGAGGGGGAGCAGCCCCTCTCAGGGTATCCTTGGTTCCACGGGATGCTCTCTCGACTCAAGGCTGCCCAGTTAGTACTGGCCGGAGGCACCGACTCCCACGGTGTTTTCCTGGTACGTCAGAGTGAGACGAGGCGGGGCGAGTACGTCCTCACTTTCAACTTCCAGGGCAAGGCCAAGGTGAGTGACTGCGGAAAGGCCCGAGCTCCGCGGGAGCTGGCGGGCGGAGTGGGGCCGTGGCCGTCGGGGAAATGGTTCCGTAATCGGCAGGGGCTCGGCCCTGCCTCACCTCGCTCCTCCTGCCCTCAGCACCTGCGCCTGTCGCTGAACGAGGAGGGTCAGTGCCGGGTCCAGCACCTGTGGTTCCAGTCCATTTTTGATATGCTCAAGCATTTCCGGGTGCACCCCATCCCTCTGGAGTCTGGAGGCCCCAGTGACGTTGTCCTTGGCAGCTATGTCGTGTCCTCCCAGCGGCAGCAGGGTGAGCAGAGCAGGTCTGCAGGGGAGGAGGTGCCCGTGCACCCAAGAAGTGAGGTGTGTGTGCCAGAAAGGTGGGGCGGGGCATGTGAAGAGGAGAGGCTTTGTTGGGGGGACGGAGAGAAGGGGGCTGTGCGTTGGGGTTTCAAAGGGGAAAAAGTATGCCGAGGAGGTAGGGAGGAAGTGGAGAGTGGGTTGGTGCATCCCCATTCCATCAGACCCCTCTGTTCCATCATTTGTCTGTCTCCTAGTTACACCTCCCTTGTCTTGCCCTTCCTCATCTCCTCGCCTTGGGCCTGCCCTTCTGGGGAATGCTGTTTGATCCCCCTCCCTCTTCCCTTAATGTTCGATGTCCCTGTCTGATCTCTCCCTTTTCCCCGCCCCCACGTCCCATCTGTCCCCACGTTGCCCCTCCCCCCAGGCCGAGAGCAGGCCGGGAGCCATGCAGGGGTGTGCGAGGGAGACCGATGCTACCCCGATGCCTCCTCCACCCTCATGCCCTTCGGAGCGAGTGACTGTGTGTAAGTGTGGTCCTCTCACCTCCGCCATGATCCATCTCTCACGGAGGGGGGTGCTCAGAAGATGGGATGTGGGGAGATAGCACATGGCTCCTGGGGGGATAGTGAAGGGGAGGCTGCTGCAAGAGCTTGCCTCCCTCCACAATTAGTCTGTCTTCTTACCATTCCTATCCAGAACCGAACACGGCCCACGGCCCACCCCCACCCCCTGACCCCCCCTCGTGGACAGATCCCCCACATCCTGGGGCAGAAGAGGCGTCGGGGATGTCAGAAGTGGCAGCAGCAACAGCCACAGCAGCCAAAGAGAGGCAAGAGAAAGAGAAAGTGGGCAGTGGAGGGATCCAGGAAGATCTGGTCCCCGCGGTTGAGCTGGTCCCCGTGGTTGAATTGGAAGCGGCCATGACACCAGACACGGAGATCCAGGGAGGCCCTGGATCTGGTGGGGTCCCTGAAGCAACACCGATGGTGCAGCTCCAGCAGTTACCACTAGGGGGCGATGGAGAAGAGGGGGGCCACCCCAGAGCCATTAATAACCAGTACTCCTATGTGTGACACCCTACCCACTCCCTTTGTCCGCTTTCTTGCTCCTCAGCCCTCAGTTCCTGAGACGGGCTGAGCAGGCACCCAGAGGAGCGGTAGGCATCCCCTCCCCATATGCGTCCTGACCCTTGAGGGCCAAGGGCATATAGGTTGGTACAAGAAGAGGTTCGTTCAAGAGTCCCGCTAACTCCCCAGTTCATACACTACAGGTGCCCGGTCCCCTGGGGAGGGATTGGGGCTCCATTACCTCTCCGAGGGGCTCTATGTCAGCCCCGCCCCTGGGGGCCATTTCCCCATTATCTACCCCCAGCCCAAGGAGGGGTGAGGGGGAAGGGCTGTCAGTTAATACTAAGGTGGTTGTTGTTGTTGTTTTAAACAAAATGGAGAAGCATAAATAAATAAAAGGGTTTATCTCGGTTCGTTGTGGTGACTGTGGCCAGTGTTTGCAGTGGGGCCGGGATGGGTCAGGAAGGTAGCCCCCTCATGTTGTGGCCCCAGAGCGGAGCGGCCAGAGGGCTGGTCACATGAAGTCCCTGTTGCTCCCTAGTCCCGCACGTTCTGTCCATTGCTTCTCGGGATTGTCCTGTGTGATGAGCAGTAAGTGCAGAGCCAAACTGTGCTTCTCGGGGTCTCCGGGCAAGTTCTCTTAACGGGACAGGACAGTGAGCAGCAGGATCAGCGATCTCCTAGGACCCCTCCTGCCCCGAATTCTTCCGTTAGGCTTCCTGCCTTAGGGAGAAAGCTGGCAGAGAGGCCGTGCACCCGGGACGGCGTGGGGCTGTGGCTACAGAGGGGCCAAGGTCAGGCGACACTCCCCCCTTCTCGGAGCCAGGCTGGGAGATGGAGGGTAAATGCCAAAGAGCACTGGCTTTGCCTCTCATTTGCTGTCCCTTCCGTCAGACTCCACTCCAGCCTCAGTGGAGGGGTCCATCCACAAAACAGGTGGGAGCTGCTGACCTCGCTTGCTTGACCTGGATAATGTTTCCATTGAAACTTGACATAAAAGTTCAGATTATTGGCTTTTCTTGAAAATCGGATGATCCAGCCTCATGCGGTCGGTCCACCTTCCGCATCTCCATCCCCGCAGACCACTCACGTGACGTGCTGCCCTGTATTGAGTTTGCAACGTCTCCTGCCCTCCCTGAGGCCCTCCCACTCCCGTCCAAGCCCTCCAGCCCGGGCTCTGCTCTGGGGGCTGCGCTCTGCTCTCCAGTGGAAGGCCCCCTGGGCTGCCCAGCGCTGTGGGTGGTGGGTGCCAACAAGGAGGGACCAGATCCTGAAGACTCACCTTTGTTGTTGTTAATCCTCACCCCGCATTGATTTTTAGAGAGTGGAAGGGAGGGGGAGAGAGAAACATTGATGTGAGAGAGACATTGACTGGTTGCCTCTCCCACATGCCCCAACTGGGGCTGGGAATTGAACCTGCATCCCTGGTACATGCCCTTGATGGGGAATCGAACCCAAGACCTTTCCATGAGAAGGCCAACACTAACTACTGAGCACACCAGCCATGGCAGACTCCCATCAGGCCCTCTCCCCTCCCCACCTCCCTCCAGCACTGCCTCTTATTCTGCCTCTCCCTTTTTTTTTTTTTTTTTTTTTTTCACGCCCCTCAGCCTCTGCCCCCACCTCGTGGCCCTACCCATGCTTATGACCTTGCTATTCTGGGCCTGTCCTGTTGGGAGATGGACAGGAGACAGCTGGGCTCAGGCCACCAGGCTTTGGGCTAGCCAGGGGAAGCCTGCTGGCTCTCCCAGTTCTATCTAAGCCCTGGGACTCCCCCAAACCTTGGCCTTAGGAGTCTGGGGATGGAATTGGCCTTGTCAGGGTGAGGATGGTTTAGGGATCTAGGTGCTGTGTATTCTAAATGTGAGATGGTGCCAAAACCGGCTTGGCTCAGTGGATAGAGCGTCGGCCTACAGATTGAAAGGTCCCAGGTTCAATTCCAGTCAAGGGCATGTACCTTGCTTAGGGGCGCATCCCCAGAGCGGGGTGTGCAGGAGGCAGCTGATCGATGTTTCTAACTCTCCCTCTCTCTCTTCCTCTGTAAAAAAATCAATAAAATATATTTTAAAAAATAAATAAGAATAAACGTGAGATGGTGAGGAAAGACCATGGCACCCAGTGTAGGCAGTGTAGGGCCTGATTCCCTCCTGGTCTAGCAGCAACTGGTGCCGCGAGGCTCCCCTCGCCTACACTGGCAGCCCCCTGGGCCTGTCTGCTGAAGATGGGTGAGGCGGTACATGGATTTGCATGTCCCATCCGGAGAAACCTAAGAGACGATTTCCCTGTAAACCTTTCTGGGTGGTTCAACTTGAGTTCGGAACTGGTCAGGGATTGGCCAGGCTCTGTCTCCATATCCTTCAGCATTAGACCTCCCCCGTTCTGAGCATCCGAGACGGGAAGGGAGCACCAACTCGCTTGGAGACCCGCGGTGGGCAGAATCCAAGAGAGCGAGCGCCTCGTTGCTCAGCCTTGCTCCATCCCTGTTCACACCCTGATGATGATCCTCTGCGGCTCTTGGCTGGTGGCTTTGCCTCTCTGGCTTCGGTCCCCACCTCGGGCAAGTGGAGGGAGGTAGGAATGACTAACCTTAAAGGGCCCTGTTGGCAGCAGCATCCTGTAAAGCCTGCCTCCTTTCCTCAGCTCTCAACTCCCTTGAAGCTGTGATCGGTCCAGTCTTCTCCCCCTTCTCCATGTTTGGGCATTCCTGCTCCTTTAAGACGGTGCTCCTGTCACTCCTCCAGGTGGTGGTGGGGAGAGGCCAGCCAGTGCCAAAGGCTTGGCAGATGCTGAGCCTGGTGGCCTGAGAAGATGGATGACGGGGGGCCAGGTGGAGGTGCCTGTGGGTCAACCTCACAGCCATTGTTTGAGCCCCCTCTCCCGGTCACAGCAGGATTCTGCCTTGAGGGGGGCTTTGTTGGGACCATGAAGCGGGGGAAGCACCATGTCCTAAACTCACCCTGGAGGGGGGGGGAGGAAGGGATGAGTGTGAGGGACCTAACCCATCCTGCTGGCCTACCCACACCCCGAAAGTGCGCCTTCCCTTTCCTTGGCCTCGCCGCCTCCTATGCCGTTGTGCCCCCACCCCCTTGTCAGGGCCTGAGCACCGGGGGAAGCAGCCAGAACCCAGCAGGAGTCTGTAGTCCTTACCGTTCCAGGAAACAGGCCTAACGCAGGGAAGGCCTGGAGGTCAGGGTCAGGAGGCTGCTTCCCCTCCCTGACCTTTCCCCACTCTCACCCGTGCTGCCCTCCTGCTCCTCCAGAGCCGGGTGGGGGTCGGGGGCTCAGAGCAGCTGCTTCTCCGAGGAAGCTGACGCCAAGGCCAGCCGCTCAGCAACAGCTTGTGGCTTTGCACCCAGCCCTGGGCCCCCACCCACCTGGCTGCCACATGCCAGCCCCCCGCTGTCCCTTCCCCCTGCTCCTCAGACTTCCCTCTGACCCCGCAGCTCTGGTCTGTCCTCAGTTCCCCTGGTCCTGTCCCCATCAGTCCGCCCTCCGCACGCCTTGGGTCTGGAGCGCGGCTGTATTTATCCAGCTTCCCCAGCCCCTCTCCTGCCGCCTGGATGCGCCTCTCAGGCCTTTTCCCGCGGGGCCGCCCGCCCTGTGAGGACAGATCCTTCGGGGCCAGGTGGCTGCAGACAGGCTGCCTGGGGTCTGCCAGGTAAACCCCTCGGGCTGAAGAGAGCAGTGTGGGATAAAATAACCCTTATTCCATGACTTGGGGTGACCCTCACCCCCACCCTGAAACATGTATCTCTCCTCCTCTGCCATCAGCACATTCTCCAGCCTCTTGGGTTACCTTGCTGCCCGCCCGCTGGGTATCCCGTTTTCTTGGGAGGGGATTCACTGTTGGGGGGAGGGGGGGGCTGGAGGCTGTGTTCCCAGAGGCTTGGTGAGAGCGATGGAGGGGGGAGTTGAGGGGAGAGACAGGCAGTCCTGGCTTTGCTCACCAGGCCTGGACACTAAATCCCTTGTTGATGGCTGCACAACCCCTCCCTAGGGTAGGGTTACCGTCTCTGCTCTGTCCCCTTGACCCTCTCCCCTCCTGTTTCCCTTGTTCCCCTGGAGCCACTTCCTCTGGCCCCAAAGGATGTCCTCCCTCCTCAGGCCCCCTCAGGCTGCAGTATCTGCTGGCCTTGAAGCCAGCGGGGTGAGGAAGGAGACCGGCAGGAGACAGGGCCGGTGGATGAGCCGGGAAGGGGTGAGGAGAGGGAACGGTGAAGGACAGAGTAGAAGTGGGCTGTGGGGAAGGACGGAGGGATGGGTTTGGAATAGGAAATTCAGTGCCACCGGGGAAGTCGAGGCAATTGGGGGAGGGGTCAGCAGCAGAAGACAAGTGAAGTCCCTCCCTCCCCCCTCCCCTGTGGCTGGGCCACCTCAGCTTCCCTCTGAGTGACACCTCGGGCTGCAACCCCACTGTTCCCCCTCTGTCAGCAGAAATATCTCTCTTCTGACCCCTCCTGCCGGAGCCTCGGCCAGCCAATCCCTGATCCGGGGGAGGGGGGAGCCTGCCCCCCCCCCACTCCCTCATAAGGACCAGCTGGGGGCTGGGGGGGGTGGCCAGCTGCTGCAAGTGGGACGGGGGTCAGAGCTTCGTGGAGGGAAGCAAAGTCTGGGGGGGGCAGGAGACAAAAAGGAGGAAACCCAGACACACAGGCAGGTGGACACGCTGAGGAAGGCCCCCCACACGTGGAACCCCCCCAGAAGGAACACCGCCCCCTGGCCCCCAGGAAGGGAGCACCATGGAGGCTGCACACGCCAAGAGCACAGAGGAATGTCTGGCCTATTTTGGGGTGAGTGAGACGACAGGCCTCACCCCGGACCAAGTGAAGAGGCACATAGAGAAGTACGGCCCCAATGGTAAGTGCGGGCAGGGCCCTCGCAGCCTGCAGCACCCACGCACACGCACACGCTCCGCACACGCACACGCACACGCTCACGCACACGCTCACGCTCGCGTGGGAGTCTCTTCTCCAGGGGACGGGGGAAGAGCTGGGCCCTGATCCAATGACTGACTGCACGGGGGAGGGCGGGGGAAGAGGATCCGGCAGACAGGGGCCCTGAGACCCGGAGTTGGGGAGGTTTCTGGGTGACCTTGGCGAGCCCCAGATGCCGGGTTGATGGCCTGACTCTCCTCCCTGAGTCACACATTTCGGGGGTGGGAGCATTAGACTGAACCCCAAATGAATATGTCCTTTATGTTTCTCTTTTCTCCGGACAGAGCTACCTGCCGAGGAAGGTAAGTTCCTGACTCCCTCTCCCCTCGGCGCCCCCTCCCCTCTCCCTGCCCTCTCCCTGCTCACTCCTGGGGCAGACACCCCTCCCCGGAGGTTGGAGCTTGGCTGGGGGCAGAAGTTTCCAGGCACTTTCTCCTTGAGGCATCCAGCCCTGGAACCACTGCCCGCCGCTTGGAGGAAGGAGCCTGTTTTGGGAGCCCTGGCAAGCTCCCTCCGCCCTCCCCCAGTGCCAAGCAGCCTGCCCAGCACCCCAGAACCTCCCAGCTCCAGGCTGGAAGTCAGGGCACTTTCAGGCTCTGGACCGCCCCCCCCTGCACCCAGAGTCCCCGCGGGGTTCGTCTGCCAGACCTGACCCCGGGCCTCCCCGCGCCTCTCCCCGCAGGGAAGTCCCTGTGGGAGCTGGTGGTGGAGCAGTTTGAAGACCTTCTGGTGCGCATCCTCCTCCTGGCCGCCTGCATCTCCTTCGTAAGTGCGGGAGGCCCGGGGGAGGGCCCGGGGGAGGGCGGGGGCCGTGGAGGGTCTGGGGAGCCTGCTGGGTGTTGGCTCGAACCAGAGGCCGCTCTAGTCCAAGCCCTCAGCATCCTGTTCTGCAGACCAGAGCTGAGGGGGTGGGGTGCGGCTGGTGCGCGTCCTCCTCTGTCCTTCCCACACCCCGCAGGCAGGTTTTATTTTAAGCTTTAAGGGTGTTCTCAGCCAAAACTCTGAAGCTAAGCCATTCCCGAAGCTTCAAGGGCTCTGAAGGCTCGGGTTACCCCCTGAGCGCAGGGCTCCCCAGCTCAGAGGCTGCTGCCACCCCAGGCACCACTGCTCCCTGCTGCCCGGGGCCCACACGCCGCCCCGCCAATCCCCGAGCGGCCTCGGGCCCCTTGGCCCGCCCCCTGGCGCTGATTGGGCGAGGCCGATCCCTCCGAGAGGCGGGAAAGAGCTGCTGGTGTGAGGGTGACCCCTCACCTGCCTCCCGGCCTCCCTGCCCCATCAGGGCTGGGGCTCCCGAGACCCCTCCTCGCCGGCTGGCTGACCTCCCCAGGCCCCCGCAGCCTCAGGGCTGACCCCTCCTCCAGGCCCTGGCACCCACCTGCCCAGCAGTCCACCCCGCATCTGAGTTTCTTCCTTAGCTTAGTCCCCGAAGGGAGGAGGACTCTGCAGGCACACGTCTGCCTGTCCCCCGCTCCTCAGCCGAGGCCTCGTGGCCCCCGAGCACTCGCTGGCAGGGCCTCCTTCTCCCTTCTCAGATTTGCTCCTTGACATTTGCCTGTGGCTGTCGCCTTTGCCTGGCAGAGGCAACAGCTGGGGTGGGGTGTGTACAGGAGGCGGGTAACCCTATCCCCGCTCCTGCTCCCTCATGAAACCGGAGCTCCCAGCCTCGGCTGGGGGAGGGGTGTGGGTGGGCAGGCGCGGTGAGGACCACAGGGTTCTCCTAGGGGCGCGGCTCCCGTGACATGGATGTGGCTGTGGGGGTCGTTGGCCTGGTGTCCCCGAGCTTTGTCTACAAGCCAACAACTTGGTCAGGGGGACCTGCAGCGTCCCTGTCGGGCCCTGAGCTGTGCGTGTCTGCCCGCCTGAGCCTGTGAGCATCAGCGGGCAGTGCTGGCGAGGCCGGGCCTGGCGTGTCGTGAGATGCCCCTTGCTCCTGCACGTGTTCTCACCCCCTTTGCTTTCCTGGCCTGTCGAAGGGGCTCCAGCTCGCCATCCTCCCTTTCCCTGCTTCCCAGGTGCTGGCCTGGTTTGAGGAAGGCGAAGAGACCGTCACTGCCTTTGTGGAACCCTTTGTCATCCTCCTGATCCTCATCGCCAACGCCATCGTGGGGGTTTGGCAGGTTAGCCTTGGCCCCAGCTCACCCCTTCCCATCCTGACACTGAGCAGGAGGCCAGCTTCCCCCCAGCTCCCCCCTCCAGCGCTTCCCCTGGGCTGGCCTTGTTCTCCGGTCCTATCGCTGCATCTGAACTTGGGGCGGAGTGTTGGAGAGAGGGGGAGACTGTTGCTCCTACTGTCTCTGGCTGGCTGTAGAGCCCTGGACAGGTTCCTCATCTCCCTGAACCCCGTTTCCTCATCCATAAAACGGGGCTCATAGTCCTGCCCACGATGGTGAACGGTAACCAGGTGATGAGTGCGGAGTGCCCGACCCTGTGCCTGGCAGATAGGAGTTCAGTAAATAATAGTGTTGAGTTCTGCTTTCTCTTCTCTTACTACCCTCTACTCTCCTGTCCCCTGCTTTCGGGTTTTCTTTCATTCTCTTTCCTTTTCTCCCTAAAGGCCCCTTCGCCGTGTCAGCCATAGTTTCCTCACATACACACTGGGGTTTGTCTCCTCCTCCTCCCTCTGTGAGATCCCACCACCCCCAGGACTCTGGCTCCGGCTCCGTGGTCTCTACACTCCACCCCCCAGCCCTCCCCAGGCAGCACCCCCCCCCATCTTCCTCCCTCTGATGCCCCTCCTGTCGTCCGCCCTGAACCCCAGGAACGTAATGCAGAGAACGCCATTGAGGCCCTGAAGGAATATGAGCCCGAGATGGGAAAAGTCTACCGGGCTGACCGGAAGTCAGTGCAGAGGATCAAGGCTCGGGACATTGTCCCCGGGGACATTGTGGAGGTGGCTGGTGAGTGACGGGGCCGAGTGGTCCAGAGCAGGAGGCCAGGCAGATGTATATGTTGGGGGCGAGGACTGGTCATTTCCTGATTCGGGGTCCCGGAGGGAGCCAGGGTGGACAGAGGAGCCTTTGCTTCTCCTTCCAGACTCCTCGGGAGGTCACCCCAGGGCACTGTCGCCGCAGCACCCCCTCCCTGGGAGGGCCGCACAGGAACAGCCAGTCCTGTCCCTGAGGCCGCAGGCAGACCCTCTCCCCCCCTCTCACCCGGGACTTGCAAGCAACAGGTGGAGCCCAGTCCCTGCCAATGGCCCATCTCCACCCCCTCCCGAGGCCTGGCGGCCCTCCTTCCACCCCCGAGCTTGGTCAGCCTGAAATCTTGACCTCTCTGTGCCCTTGAGGCCTCAGAGGGGAAGGAGCGAGGGCTGAAGGGAGGAAGGGGGGCCAGAGGCTCAAGCCCCCGACCATGTAAGGGAAACAGCCCCGGCAGAGAACACGGGACCTGGGAGGAGAGCGCAAGGAGGCCCCGCCTCTGTGCGGAGGGACACTTAATGCCCGGCGGGAGGGGCGGGGGCTGGGCGGCTAAGATTACTGGGATTCTGCCCCCTTCAGCGGTTTTTATATTTGCCCTGCTCAGGCCTCCCCACGTCTCCAGGCCCCTGGCAGGGGGGAACGAGTCTTCCTCAGTGGGCTTCCCTCCCGGACACCCACGTTGCCACGTGGGAAACTGGGAGGGAGGGGAGGAGGGAGGGCGGTCAGGCTGAAGACCCCGGTGCCCCATTGCTGTCCTGCTATGGTGACAGTTTGGAGTCTGTGCCATGAATGTCTATAAATATCGCTTCGACTTGGGTGACAGCGTGTCCCGCCCAGCTCCATGGCCAACCCTGTCCCTCCTCCATCAGCTTCCTCTGGCACAGGAGGGACCTCAGAAACAGGGGAAGGAGAGCAGTCGGACCCTGTCCCCAGAGCCATCCTAGGCCCAGGCAGGGCCAGGCAGAGGGCCTGGCAGACACACAGCCTCCTCTAAGGCCTCGAGTCCAGTGGGGTATCCGCCCGCAGCCTCCCTGATGGGCTTTCTGGACTGGCCTCCTCCACAACTTCATAGCCCACAGCTGTGTGACTCCCCGTCCCCCTCCCCTGCGCCCTGCAGACCTCCCCGTCTCTCCCGCCATCTCCCAGTGCACTCACCCGTCCCGCCCGCCCTCACCGCTCAGGCCGGGCAGCGAGCAGGCTTCGGCTGGCTGTGCGCCTTCCTCTGCCTCGCCGCTCCTCTCCCCTTCCGCGCCTTCCCTCCTCACCCCTCCTCTCACGCTCTCTCTCCTGCTTCTGCTCCATCCACCCTCAGTCTTGGGTGACACTGATTTTTCTCAGTTTCTGTATCTTCCCCTGCCTCTCCCTGCCTGCCTGGCTGTTCCACTCGGCTCTCTCCCCCGACACACGGCTCTCCAGCTCGCCCTGCTTCCTTTCGCTCTTTTCTCGCCTTCCCCGCCTCTCTGCCGTGCTGTCTCCCATTCATTTCCCTTCCGTCATCCAACATACATGTATTCAGCTGCCAGGCCCCCCTCACGGGGCTCGCAGCCCGGTGGGGAGACGGGGGGACAGTGGCATGTGTGTTAAGAGGGAGATTCTGGGGCTACAGGGGCACATGCTGAGGGCCTGACTCAAGCCCAGGGCGGGCACCAAGCCCGGGCGACCTCACCAAGACCTGAAGGATGAGGTGAGGTAGTTGGACAAAAACGGCGCTTTCCTTAGAAAGGAAGAAAAATACTTTATCAACTAACGTCACTCTCCTCTCTCCACAGTGGGGGACAAGGTCCCTGCAGACATCCGCATCCTCTCCATCAAATCCACCACCCTCCGGGTGGACCAGTCCATCCTGACAGGTGTGGTGGCCGGCGGGGAGGTGCCTCGGGGGAGGAGGGGGTGGGCGAGGGGGAGCCGGGTGGACAGACAGGGATGCGATCCGGGTGAGAAGAGAGCACCCAGCACGAGGGCCCTTCCTGGCCCCGCAGTGGCAGCAGCTCTGCACGGCCCAGCTCTGTTCACGGTTACAAAACGGAAACACGGGGTCTGGGAGAGGGCGGGATGTTTGTGTCCCTTCCACACAGACATACGGACACACTCACCCAGGGAACTATCCTGTCTCCGCAAAAGCCGAGAGTAGCCCTCACCGGTTTGGCTCAGTGGGTAGAGCGTCGGCCTGAGGACACAAGGGTCCCAAGTTCAATTCCGGTCAAGGGCATGTAGCTTGGTTGCAGGCACATCCCCCGTAGGGGGCGTGCAAGAGGCAGCTGGTTGATGTTTCTAACTCTACTCCTCTCCCTCTCTGTAAAAAATCAATAAAACGTGTTTTTTAAATTTATTTTTTATTTTTTTGAAAGTCTTTAAAATCCAATATTATTATTTTTTAAAATATATTTTATTGATTTTGTACAGAGAGGAAGGGAGAGAGCTAGAGAGCTAGAAACGTCGATGAGAGAGAAACATCGACCAGCTGCCTCTTGCACACCTCCTACCAGGGATGTGCCCGCAACCAACGTACATGCCTTTGACTGGAATAGAACCTGGGACCTTTCAGTCCACAGACCAACGCTCTATCCACTGAGCCAAACCGGTTTCAACTAAAATGTGGTTTTTTATTTTATTTTATTTTATTTTATTAATTAATTAATTAATTAATTTTTCTTTATTCAAAATGTGTTTTTTTTAAAAAGCCAGAGAGTAAGGAACCATAGGATCTAGGACAAGACAAGGTTCAGATACACTTAAAACACTGCTTCTGGGTCTCCACTGGGACAGGTGGTGGTGAAGAGCCAGTGAGGGTCCCAGGAGGCGAGGCCTGGTACCATGGGGGGGCGGGGAGGCTCCACTGGCGGATCTTCCTCCCAGGAGCCTGCCCTCCCCCGGGCAGTGCACGGCACCCAGTCAGCTGGCTGACTTCGCCAGGACCTTTCCTGTGTGGACCTAGCACCCTCCCCGTTTACAGCGGCGCGAACAGTGAGGTGTCCCTAAGACATGCAGCTTTACGTGGGGAACCGAGGGGTGGGGCCTCGTCTTCTTACTCTGAGGGCAGTGAGTTCCCCGGTTGCTGCCAGTGGCTGCTCCGGAGTCCAGACTTCCTCCAGGATCACTGCTCGGTCCTTACCAGGCCTGTGCTGCCGCGCAGGGGGCGCTAGGGCCGGGGCGTGTGGGGTGTCATGTGAACACCCCCTTTTCCACAGGCGAGTCCGTCTCTGTCATCAAGCACACAGAGCCTGTCCCCGACCCCCGAGCCGTCAACCAGGACAAGAAGAACATGCTCTTCTCGGTGAGCCACGCGGGCAGCTGGTCTGGGGGGACGTGGCCGCGTGAGGAGAGATGGGTCCCGCCCTCGCTGGGTTGGCTCAGTGGATAGAGCATCAGCCTGCAGACTGAAGGGTCAAGGGCACATGCCGGGGTTGTGGGCTGGGTCCCCAGTAGGGGGGGTGCAGGAGGCAGCCAATCAGTGGTTCTCTTTCCTCACTGATGTTTCTGTCTCTCCTCTTTCCCTTCCTCTCTGACATCAATTAAAAAAAAAAAAGATCTTGTATAATCTAGCTGTTTACATTTTCAAATCATCATTTCCATCCTTAAAAAGAAAGGTTGTTTTTTTTTATCCTTAAAAAAGAGAGAGGAAAGAAGTGAGCCTCGCAGCCGGAGCCCTTGGCCTGACTCCGGGCCTCGTCTGTACCTTCCAGGGCACCAACATCGCAGCTGGCAAGGCCATCGGCATCGTGGCCACGACCGGCGTGAGCACCGAGATTGGGAAGATCCGAGACCAAATGGCCGCCACGGAGCAGGACAAGACGCCGCTGCAGCAGAAGCTGGACGAGTTTGGGGAGCAGCTCTCCAAGGTCATCTCTCTCATCTGCGTGGCCGTATGGCTCATCAACATTGGCCACTTCAACGACCCCGTCCACGGGGGCTCCTGGTTCCGTGGCGCCATCTACTACTTCAAGATCGCCGTGGCCCTGGCCGTGGCTGCGATTCCAGAAGGTATGGCGTCTCTCTCCCCCATCTGCTAATCTCGTCCATAGGGACCCCTTTGCCAGATAAGGTAGCATCTACAGGTTCCGGGGTATGGGGCCCGATATCGCCGGGGGCCATTCCTTCCCGTCCCTGTTACTGACCCCTCACTCCGACGTTCCCCCATAGGCCTGCCCGCCGTCATCACCACCTGCCTGGCCTTGGGCACCCGCCGGATGGCCAAGAAAAACGCCATCGTGAGGAGCCTGCCCTCCGTCGAGACCCTGGGCTGCACCTCTGTCATCTGTTCCGACAAAACGGGCACCCTCACCACCAACCAGATGTCGGTCTGCAAGGTCAGAGAAGCGCGGGGCTGCGCAGACAGGGCTGCCCCTTCCTCCCTCACCGCTCCTCCCTGACCCCGAAGGACATGCTCAGAAGGGGGATGGAGAGCCATCCTGTGAGCTCTGCTGGGGACCCGAGCGGCCCTCTGCCCTGGGCAGACATAGCCCTGTGCTGTCTCTAGTCCCGCCCACAGCCCCCACGGGCAACCGTCGCACCCACCCCACTTTCCAGAGGAGGAGGCTGAGGCTCTGGAGAAGCTGCAGAATTGAGTTTCAAACCCAAGTCTGTCCGGCCCAGCTGCTGCCTTCCAGAATGGTTGTCACAGCCGGGCCCTGGGAGCCGGCCACTCTCATCTCGAGCGGCATTTCCCACACCAGGGCTGTCTGTCTATCTGTGCCTCAGGCTCTTCGGCACTCTGTACTTCTTCTCAGTATCATATTTTAAAAGTATAAGATAAGTACTTAGGGCCCGAGCTGGTTTAGCTCAGTGGATAGAGCATCTGCCTGTAGCCTGAAGAGTCCCAGGTTTGATTCCTGTCAAGGGCACATGCCTGGGTTGTGGGCTCAATCCCCAGTAGGGGGCGTGCAGGAAGCAGCCAATCAATGATTCTCTCCCATCATTGGTGTTTCTATCTCGCTTCCCCTCTCCCTTTCTCTCTGAAATCATAAACACATATTTTAAAACTAAATAAATACTTAGGATTCTGTTTTAAAAGTAGAGCAGATCACAGAAGCAGCCACTGATGTAAGCACAGTTACCAAACTATTTTAAAAACAGATTTGCAATTTGGCAGCACTTCTGCTTCTTTATTAACGCGATTGAGTAGCGAGCCTGGCAGTCGATCTAAGAACCACCGCAATGCTAAAGCCGTGGTTCATGGCCTGCATTCATAATTGGGAGGAAATGCTAAATGTCAGAGAGAAAACAAAATTTTTTTTTCTTTTTTTCTTTTTTTTAAGTACGAGCATTTTTTAAAGTTGATTGGTTTGAGAGAGAGAGAGGTTGATTTGCTATTCCATGTGGTTATGCATTCATTGGTTGATTCTTGTAAGTGGCATGACCAGGATCGAACCTGAACCCCTGGTGTATCTGGTTGATGTTCTAACCAGCTGAGCTACTGGCCAGGGCGGCTCCTCCTCCTCTCCTCTTCCTCTTCTTCTTCCTCTCCTTCTTCTTCTTCTTCTTCTTCTTCTTCCATCAAAGTTCACAGACCCCCTGGCCAGGAATCCCCGACCTGAACAGAGCTCTTGGACTAGCAGGTCCATTACACAGAAATGGACATGGGGACTCTGTGGTCAGACCGGGGGGGAAGGGCTGTACCGTGGCCCCTTGTGGAGGCCACAGGCCTTGAGGCGTTGGAAAGCCTGGGAGAGGGCTGACTGTGAAGAGGATGGATCTTGCTTTGTTTAGCCCCGAGTTCCCCAAACTCACTTGATCACAGACCGCTTTGTCTGGGACCCTGTCGAACGCCGTCCCCCCGCACCTGCTCTGGTTCAGTGGGTGCTCCCCGCCGAGCACTGCAGGGCAGCTCCTTCCTCAGCACCGGCCGCAGAGCCACCGCGGGCTGTGCAGTGGGGCTCCCGTGCTGTCTCATAAAAATGAGTTCATTCCCACCTTCAGAGTCCCGAGATTCATAAGGAGAATAACCAGAACTTCTAACTGTTCCTGCAAAACTGGAAGGTCGGGGCCCAGTGGCTGCAGCTACTGTGGTCCTGTGTGAACAGGGGGATGTAGCTCCAGTCCCACCACTGACATTGCACGTCTCCACTTCTGTGCGAAGCCTGTGACCAGTCCGGGGAAGATTGCCGGGGAGTGAGGGGGGTGAGGAAAAGAGGCCAGACGGGGCCCGGTAGGAAGCTCACTTGGTCTGTGCAGGTGGCTGGCCAAGGGGATGTCTGAGCCGGGCACCTCGGTGCCTTCGGGGCAGGGAGCCGGGCGTCCGCACAGACCCCTCTCTCTCCCGCAGATGTTTGTCATCGACAAGGTGGAGGGGGACTCCTGCGTGCTCAACAAGTTCTCCATCACCGGCTCCACCTACGCTCCCGAAGGAGAGGTGTAAGTCCGCACGCCCCCACACCCCCTCCTCCCTGGCTAGCTGTGTCTGCCTCTCTCTCTTCCGTCCCTGGCCTTGTTCTCTTCCCACCTGACCGCCAAGTGGATTGATTGCCGCTGCCCCCGCCTGTGCCTCGCTGCTGTCCCCTTGCTCTCTCTGCATCTCACTTCCTATCGTCTCCACTTCTCTTTTCCTTCCTTCCCCCCACCCCGCCGCCGCCGCCAGCCTGAAGAATGATAAGCCAGTCCGGGCGGGGCAGTATGATGGGCTGGTGGAGCTGGCCACCATCTGTGCCCTCTGCAATGACTCCTCTTTGGACTTCAATGAGGTAACCTTGACGCTCCCGAAGCTCCCTCTTCCCCCGCCGCCAGCTGGCTCGGGCGCAGGCGTCCTCACCAGGTCACCAGGCAGGGGTCACGGGGAGGGGGTCTCTCCTCGGTGTAAGGGGAAGGGAGTGGCTTGCTCCTTCCTATTCTAGGTGGGGAGGTGGGTGGGTTTGGTGGGAGCCAGGGGCCAGGAGCCCAGGGCACCTACTTCCTCTTCCTCTGCCCTCTCAGGCCAAAGGCGTTTATGAGAAGGTAGGCGAGGCCACCGAGACGGCTCTCACCACCCTCGTGGAGAAGATGAATGTGTTCAACACGGACGTGAGGAGCCTCTCAAAGGTGGAGAGGGCCAACGCCTGCAACTCGGTGAGTGGCTGCTCCCTCCCCCGGGTCCCTCTTCACCCCATCACTCGGCCAGGCAGGACCCCAGGGGCTTCAGGAAGCCGCGGCCCCCTGTCCGGCTGCGAGGGCCCTTGTGTCCCAGGCTGGCACCCCAGCCAGCGTAGACCAGTGGCCACTCCTCAGCTTCTCTCGGTCAGGCTGCCTTTGGGAGGACCCACTGCCCCTGGACCAGGAGCTGCAGCATCCTTCCCGGTCTGAGATCACTTCCTCCGGCCCCGCCCTGGTTGGAAGGGATGGGGCTGGGCACAGACACCACCTGGGGCAGTTCCGACCCCTTTGTCTCCAGAAACACACTCGCTTTATTTCCACCTCAAGACCTGATTTAGGATTTGTCAGATGTGACCACTGCACACTCTTTCACTTCCCCTGGGTCTGTCTCCCTCACTCTGCTCAGTGTCTCCGCTGAATTCCTCTGGGCGCTAGCTCCCCACAGCACCCACTCTTAGATGTGAGATGCGCGTATACACGTCGGTAGACATTTTTTAAATTTTCCGCTTTTGTTTTATTGAGGTAAATTCACATAACAAAATTCACCATTTTAACCATTAAAAGTGTACATTGCAGGGGCTTCCAATACATTCATGATGTGCAACCATCACCGCTACCTCTTTTTTTAAATTTAAATTATTCATTGTTTAAAGTATTACATATGTCTCATTTTCCCCCTTAACCTCTCCCTGGCCATTCCCACCCCAGCACATACCCTCACCCCCCCTACTCTCTGTGTCTATGGGTTATGCTTATATGCATGCATACAAGTCCTTTGGTTGATCTCTTACCCCCCGCCTTCCCTCTGAGGTTAGATGGACTATTCAATGCTTTTGTGCCTCTAGATCTATTTTAATCATTTACAAATGATTTTTTTTAAAAAAATTCACAAATGATAAGGTAAACATCAACTTATTTTTATTTTATTATTGTTATCTTTAGTTTAGTTTTATTTATTTTATGGAGAAATATCCATGATGCATTTGGTGACAGGCTCTCTTTCATTTTTATGGAGCACTTATTATTTCATGCCAGGCACTAGATCTGCACTGTTCCAAGCACACATGTTTGTTTAAATGTAAACTAGTTAAAAATAAACACGCCCTAGCTGGTTTGGCCCAGTGGATAGAGCGTTGGCCTGTGGACTGATGGGTCCCAGGTTCAATTCTGGCCACGGGCACATGCCTGGGATGTGGGCTCGATCCCCAGTGAGGGGCGTGCAGGAGGCAGCCGATCAGTGATTCTTTCTCATCATTGATGTTTCTATCTCTCTCTCCCTCTCCCTTCCTCTCAGAAATCAATAAAAATATATTTAAAAATAAATAAATACACATAAGTGAAAACTCGGTTCTGCAGTGACACCAGCTCGGGCGTTCCTAGTATAGAACATGCCATCATCACTGACTGTGCGCAGGGCCACACTGACTGTTCGAGGGCAGGGCTGCTCTGCCCGTCTTGTTTCTGCTGGGCTCTCATGGCCATGGGGTTCTCGCCCGGTGTGCTGTGGGCGCTGCTCAGCCGACAGCCGGGGCCGCGCGACCCCCACGCCTTTTGATTATGCCTGGGACTCCTCCCTGGTAGCACAGCGCCAGCCTCTTTCCCTCCAGCCTCACGTCTGCCCTCCCGCTTCCCGTCTCCTCTCAACAGGTGATCCGCCAGCTAATGAAGAAGGAATTCACCCTGGAGTTCTCCCGGGACAGAAAGTCCATGTCCGTCTATTGCTCCCCGGCCAAGTCCCGGGCAGCCGTGGGCAACAAGATGTTTGTCAAGGTCAGACATTGGAATGTGCCCCGGACGCCTCTGTCTGGGCCTGCGCCCCGCCCCTCCCTGCCCTCCCTGTGCCCGGGAAGAGGACAGCCGTCCCTGAGTGCTGGTCTGGTCTCCTAGGGTGCCCCCGAGGGGGTCATCGACCGCTGCGCCTACGTGCGAGTCGGCACCACCCGGGTGCCCATGACGGGGCCGATGAAGGACAAGATCATGACCGTGATCAAGGAGTGGGGCACTGGCCGCGACACCCTGCGCTGCCTGGCTCTGGCCACCCGGGACACCCCCCCGAAGCGAGAGGACATGATCCTGGAGGACTCTACCAAGTTCATGGACTATGAGGTGAGCAGATGGAATCCCACTGTCCCAGCGTCCTCTGCCTCAGCCCCTCCCCACCCCGTCCTTTCCTGCTTTGTCCCGGGTCCTAGAAGCACAGGAATGTGCGAGTTTGAAAGAGCCTCAGTGCCGCTGTGCGTGTGACCGTGCACCTGTGCGTGACACGGAAAGGCACGAGCACACAGAGCAGAGTCAGCGCACAGCAGCACTGCCGGCAGCGCCACTTTCCATCGTGGCTTTCTTTTTTTTTTTTTTTTAATATATTTTATTGATTTTGTACAGAGAGGGAGAGAGATAGAGAGTTAGAAACACCGATGAGAGAGTCATCGATCAGCTGCCTCTTGCACAGCCCCTACTGGGGATATGCCTGCAACCAAGGTACATGCCCTTGACCGGAATCAAACTCGGGACCTTTCAGTCCCCAAGCCGACGCTCTATCCATTGAGCCAAACCGGTCCCGGCCATCGTGGCTTTCTTGACGTGAGCACATGGCCTGCGTTTGGCACAGGCTCCTTTTTTCGAGTGGACTGGCTCTCAGAATAGCTCCAAAGTCCATCCCTTCCCTTTATGGAGGGGACTCTGGCATGGCCGTTCACACAGATTTGCTCCAAGTTGTAGACCAAGTGAATGGCCCTTCAGAAAGCGGAAACCACCACCTCACCCCAGCTCAGTTCTTCAGAGAAAGACACGGTCTGCCACTTACCATGGGGTTGGCACTGCCACGCCTGCAGGCAGACGTGTGAACAAGGAAGGCTTCCTACCCCGCTGAGGGGTAGACACGGGGCCCAGGCAGCTCCCCCATCCGGACCTCCGTCCCCGGCTCCCCGCTGTCTTTCTGTCCTCTCCCGGCTCATTTTCCCGCCCCTCACCAGCCCTGTCGCTCTCCCCCCAGACGGACCTGACGTTTGTTGGCGTGGTCGGCATGCTGGACCCTCCCCGGAAGGAGGTCACAGGCTCTATCCAGCTGTGCCGGGACGCCGGCATCCGGGTGATCATGATTACCGGGGACAACAAGGGCACGGCCATTGCCATCTGCCGACGGATCGGCATCTTCGGGGAGAACGAGGAGGTGACAGACCGGGCCTACACCGGCCGGGAGTTCGACGACCTGCCCCTGAACGAGCAGCGGGAGGCCTGCCGCCGCGCCTGCTGCTTCGCCCGCGTGGAGCCGGCCCACAAGTCGAAGATCGTGGAGTATCTGCAGTCTTACGACGAGATCACTGCTATGGTGAGGAGACAGCAGGCCGGCCGGGGTCTGCTCAGGGTCCATGGAGACGTTGTCTTCGGGAGCCAGGAGCCTGGCGGGGAGGAGCCGAGTGAGGGCCTGGCCGAATGCAGGAGGCGGGCGGGAGGGCCCGGGTCCCACCTCCTCTCCCCCCGCAGACAGGCGACGGGGTCAACGACGCCCCTGCTCTGAAGAAGGCCGAGATCGGCATCGCCATGGGCTCCGGCACCGCCGTGGCCAAGACCGCCTCGGAGATGGTGCTGGCGGATGACAACTTCTCCACCATCGTGGCGGCCGTGGAGGAGGGCCGGGCCATCTACAACAACATGAAGCAGTTCATCCGCTACCTCATCTCCTCCAACGTGGGCGAGGTGGTCTGGTGAGCGGCGGGGCCCGGACCGGGGCGGGGGGGGGGGGTGCGGGGGGCGGCTCTGGGAGCAGCCGGGCGTGACCACCTGCTCCTGGCAGCATCTTCCTGACAGCCGCCCTGGGGCTGCCCGAGGCCCTGATCCCCGTGCAGCTGCTGTGGGTGAACCTGGTGACGGACGGGCTCCCGGCCACCGCCCTGGGCTTCAACCCACCGGACCTGGACATCATGGACCGGCCCCCCCGCAGCCCCAAGGAGCCCCTCATCAGCGGCTGGCTCTTCTTCCGCTACATGGCCATTGGGGGTGAGTAGGATGAGACCCCACAATCCTTTCCAACCCTCCAAACGGGCCCGTCTCCAGGCCCCCGGCCACTCCGGTGCAGCTGCAGCCATCGGTCTTCCCGACGCCTCCGTCGCCCAACCCTGACCCCCAGCCCCATCTTCTCCTCCGCAGGCTACGTGGGGGCGGCCACCGTGGGAGCGGCCGCCTGGTGGTTCCTGTATGCGGACGACGGGCCCCACGTCACCTACAGCCAGCTGGTAGGGAGGCTGAGAGGGAGGACGGAGGTGGGCGGGAAGCGGAAGGGGGGGCCCTCCCCCAGGCCTCCGCAGGACCCCAGTTCCTTCCCTCCCCTGCAGACTCACTTCATGCAGTGCACCGAGGACAATCCTGACTTCGAGGGCGTGGAGTGCGAGATCTTTGAGGCCCCTGAGCCCATGACCATGGCCTTGTCTGTGCTGGTCACCATCGAGATGTGCAATGCGCTCAATAGGTAGGACCCGCCCACCCCGCCCTCCCCCCACCCCTCCTCTCGCCTCGCCCCTCCTCTCGCCTCGCCCCTCCTCTCGCCTCGCCCCTCCTCTCGCCTCGCCCCTCCTCTCGCCTCACCCCTCCTCTCGCCTCACCCCTCCTCTCGCCTCACCCCTCTTGTGTCTCCCCTGCCTCCGCCTCCGCTGCAGCCTCTCGGAGAACCAGTCCCTGATCCGGATGCCGCCCTGGGTGAACATCTGGCTGCTGGGCTCCATCTGCCTCTCCATGTCCCTCCACTTCCTCATTCTCTACGTGGACCCTCTGCCGGTGAGGCCCCCGCTGGCCGCCGTTCCCGCGGAGCCTGGGAGGGAGGCCGGGCGGCGCTGGTGCGCCTCCCTGTGGACAGGGGCACTTGTCCTCATGCCTCCGACCCCCCTCAGATGATCTTCAAGCTCCGGGCCTTGGACGTGACCCAGTGGCTTATGGTCCTCAAGATCTCATTGCCCGTCATCGGGCTCGACGAACTCCTCAAGTTCGTTGCTCGGAACTATCTGGAGGGTAAGCGGCCCCGCCCCCCCCCCCCCCCCCCCCCCGCTGTCAGCCCCGGGCCCTGAGCACAGCCCTCCCCGCGCTGCGAAGGCGCCCGCCCCCCTTCCTTTTCAGGCGGCTGTCCTGGTCCTGGCAGGACCGCTGTCCACAGGGAGGCGCACCAGGTCCCCCCCCCCCCCATGCCTGGTGCAGACACTTCTCCTTGGTGCCCCTTCCTCAGCCCTCCAGGCCCGCCACCCACCCTCCCCCAATAACGCTCTCTCTGTCCTCTCTGGCCATAGGATAACCGTCCCCCTCCTCCATCTCTTTGAACCGTGTCACAGGTATCGCCCCTTCTTGTCCTTGCCCCCAGCTGCTGTGCCCACCTGACCCCCTCCCCCTCGCTGGCCTCCGAGGTCACTGCGCTCGCATACTGCCACTGCCGCGCTTCCAAGCAGGGGAGGCTGTGCCCTCACTGCGGGCACACACTGCCCTCACTGCGGGCACGCACTGCCCTCACTGCGGACACACACTGCCCTCACTGCGGGCTCCCGCTCCCTCACTGCGGGCACACACTGCCCTCACTGCGGGCTCCCGCTCCCTCACTGCGGGCACACACTGCCCTCACTGCGGGCTCCCGCTCCCTCACTGTGGGCACACACTGCCCTCACTGCGGGCTCCCGCTCCCTCACTGCGGGCACACACTGCCCTCACTGCGGGCTCCCGTTGCCCTCACTGCGGGCTCCCGCTGCCCTCACTGCGGGCTCCCGCTCCCTCACTGCGGGCACACACTGCCCTCACTGCGGGCTCCCGCTGCCCTCACTGCGGGCTCCCGCTGCCCTCACTGCGGGCTCCCGCTGCCCTCACTGCAGGCACACACTGCCCTCACTGCGGGCTCCCGCTCCCTCATGCGGACACACACTGCCCTCACTGCGGGCTCCCGCTGCCCTCACTGCGGGCTGGCACTGCCCTCACTGCGGGCTCCCGCTCCCTCACTGCAGGCTGGCGCTGCCCTCACTGCGGGCACGCACTGCCCTCACTGCGGGCTCCCGCTGCCCACTGCGGGCACGCACTGCCCTCACTGCGGGCTCCCGCTGCCCTCACTGCGGGCACACACTGCCCTCACTGCGGGCTGGCGCTGCCCTCACTGCGGGCACACACTGCCCTCACTGCGGGCTGGCGCTGCCCTCACTGCGGGCTCCCGCTGCCCTCACTGCGGGCACGCACTGCCCTCACTGCAGGATCGCACTGCCCTCACTGCAGGATCGCACTGCCCTCACTGCGGGCTCCCGCTGCCCTCACTGCAGGATCGCACTGCCCTCACTGCAGGATCGCACTGCCCTCACTGCGGGCACGCACTGCCCTCACTGCGGGCACGCACTGCCCTCACTGCGGGCACGCACTGCCCTCACTGCGGGCACGCACTGCCCTCACTGCGGGCTCGCACTGCCCTCACTGCGGGCTCGCACTGCCCTCACTGCGGGCACGCACTGCCCTCACTGCGGGCTCGCACTGCCCTCACTGCGGGCACGCACTGCCCTCACTGCGGGCACGCACTGCCCTCACTGCGGGCTCGCACTGCCCTCACTGCGGGCTCGCACTGCCCTCACTGCGGGCTCGCACTGCCCTCACTGCGGGCTCGCACTGCCCTCACTGCGGGCTCGCACTGCCCTCACTGCGGGCTCGCACTGCCCTCACTGCGGGCTCGCACTGCCCTCACTGCGGGCTCGCACTGCCCTCACTGCGGGCTCGCACTGCCCGCTATGGGCACACTGCTGGGCTGCGCTGCGCTGCGTTGCGCTGGCTGGGCGCTGTGCTGTCTGCCGCTGGGGCTGCAGTGGTTGGGAGTGGGATCCTGGGCACAGGTGGGTATGGGGTTGCTGAGCGACCCTCCAGGTGAGTCTGCAGGGGGTTGGAGCCTGGAGCCTGGGAGGGACTCTTCCTCCCCCGCCACCTGCTTCACTCCTTCCTTTTCTCCCTCCAGATCCAGAAGATGAAAGAAGGAAGTAACCAGTCCTCTGCCCCTTCTTCCCCATCCTGATAGTGACACCGTTAGCCAGAGCTGTGGCACAAACCCCCCTCCTCCCTGACATTCTTGTTTATAAGCACAATGTCCCCTTCCCTTCGCCTCCCCACCCAGCCGCCCTCCTCCCTCCTTCCCTGTAAAAACCTCCCTTCCCCGCCACGTGGGGCTTACAGGGACAAGGCGACCGACTGAGCTGAGCTGCTTATTTATTGAAAATAAATGACAGAAAAGTCTGGCCTTGCCTCCATGCACATCGTGGGCCTGGTCGAGTCTCTGGGGACAAGCATCTTAGTGTCACGCAGTCCAGAAAGCAGCCGTCTGCCCAGGACGCACATGTGGAGGAAGGCTCCACGCCGCCACCACGGCATGGCTGGGCCCGGGCAGGGCGGGGAGGCCGGCAGTCTGGTTGGGGAACAGGGGCACCAGGGCGGGACCCAGGAGGCAGCATAGCAGCCAGAGAGCCGCAGGGCTGAGCCTGCACCTTTGGTTCAGGAGGGAGCTGGGACCCTCACCCAGGGTCATCCTGGGGAGCAGAAGGCCCAGCGCTCCCGGGAGGAGACCTGGGGGGCGGTGTGGCCCTGTCCCCTAACCCCGGGCTGAGAGAGGGAAAGACTCTGTCCCGAGAGCCCCAGAGCCGAGGCCTCCGCTCTGAGTGGAGAAGGCAGTCTCCCGAGGGTGGGCTGGCCTCAGCTGTCCTTGATGTCCCCAACGTCCCTGAGCGGCGCCTCGTCCAAGAGGCTGCGCACCTGCTCCAGACTCTCCGCCTGGCGGATCTGCTCCAGGCGCACCTGCCGGCGCAGTGAGGGAAGCAGAGGCCTCGTGGGCAAGTGTAGCCTGCCTCCCCCATCCCGCAGTGACACCGGGTTCGAGGGAGGAAGGGGTCCCGGAGGGCAGCCCGAGGAAGCCGGCAGGGCAGGTGGCAAATGGCCCTGGGCTGCCCACGACCAAGACGGACACACAACTTTAAGGTCTGGGGCAGGAGCTCGGAGGAAAGAACCGCGCCAGCCAGGGGGAAGAGGACTCCTAAGTGGGGACTGTCCTTGCATGACCCGGGACACGTCACCGGAGTCCGGCAGCCGGCGGTGAGGGGCCCCGCCATACCTGCAGGGCCTGGGACAGGCGCACAAAGTCCCTCTGCACCTGCTCGCTCGTCTCCAGCTCGGCCTGCAGCCGCAGCACCTTCGCCCTCTGTTCCGACAGGGCTGTGAGCTGAGCCTAGGGGACAGGACGAGGCTGCGACCCGGGCCAGGCAGGAGGGTGGCCCGCCGGAGGGTCCCTCTCCACCAGCCCTGACTGACCTCTTCCGTGGGGCCTGGCCCTTGAGGCTGCCCCGAGGCTTCCTGAGGCGGACAGAGGGCAGAGGGGCTGGTTAGGGCCTCCCCGCTCTGCCGCCCTACCCATCGCCCTGCCCATTGCCCTGCCCGGCCTTGCCCTGCCTCACCTCGCTCTGCTCCCGATGGATCCGCTCCATCTCTGTCCTGAGGCTGCACAGGGAGGCTAGGGAGCCAGGCAGGGACGAGCCGTCAGGCCCACACTCTCCTCCTCCAGCCCCAGCCCCGCCGCTCAGTCGTACTCACCCTCCAACACCTCTGCAGGAAGGAAAGAGGGTGGTCAGGGCTTGTTCCCGCACCCTCTCTCTACCCTCCTGGCACCCAACCCCTCGCCCCCACCCTCACCCCGAGAGCAGGGGTGCGGGAGCTCCTCTCCGCTCACCTGTCTCCTCCCGCTGCACCCTCAGCTGCCCCTCCAGGCTGGCCCTCGCCGCCGTCTCCTCCTCCAGCGCCTCCCGCAGCGTCACGATCTCAATGCGAAGGCGCTCGGCCTCGTGCTCCCGCGCCCGCTGCTGGGCCCTGGCCTCCTGCCCCATGCGGAGCACCAGCTGCCTCAGCTCCTGGAAGGGCAAAGCACCTGCTGGTGTGGCAGCAGGGTCACCGGCCACACAGGGAGGGTGGGGAGGGGAGGGAGGGAGGAACCGGTTAAAAGGGGGGACAGCCCGTCACGGGGCGAGCAGACAGCACATGACCCAGCAGTGAGCGTTCCGCACAAGCACACGCGCGGCGCAGGCCCGTGCGGAATGGGGCCAAGGTCCGGATGACCCTGAGCAGGATACCCTTTCCTAACGACTGGCCCGCACTCCGCGGCGCAGGGAGGCATGTGCAGAATAAAAACAGCACCAAACAGGGCGGGGGGTGGTCGGGCTCGGGAAGGTGGGAGCAGAGCCACGCAGGAAGGGTCCACGTGAGAGATACAGGATGGGCAAGGCCTCCCGGTGACTGTCCACTTTCTGTTAAAATCCTCACTCGAAGATGTCTCACTGATTTTTAGAGAGCAACACTGATGTGAAAGAGAAACATTAACTTGTTGCCTCCGTTATGCACCTTGATCGGGGATGGAACCCACCACCTGGGTATGTGTCCTGACCAGGAATCAAACCCACAACCTTAAAACCAAACACACACACACACACACACACACACACACACAACAAACCAAAAAACCTCACAATCTTTTCTGATGAATGGGCGATGTTTTGAGCCACTGATCCACCCGGCCAGGGCGACCTTCATGTTTTTAACAAATTAATAATATCAACAAAGACCATGCACAGACCGATGATGACAGCTTGTTATGAACCAAAGATTATGATGAATTCAACTTTGTGGACCTCGTGTCCCTTAAAAATAAACCAAATTAAAAAAAATAAAAATTAAATTAAAATAAACCAAATTACTGCTTCTTTCACATCAAGCATCCTGTGAGCTCACTTTCTCTCCACGCCGATGCTGGCGAGGGGGCGTGGTCCCATCTTCAGTGGGGAAACAGCCGGAGAAAAGTCAAGTGAGTCGGCCAAGGTGCCGCACTGAGAACAGCTGCCTGGATCTGTCCCCGAGTCGCACAGGGAGGACCCAGGGCGGACCCAGGCTCCAGTGCCTGCACCCCCTTACCGGGACCGAGCTGGGCAGTGACTCCTCCTGGCCCTCCTGCTCCAGGGCCCCGGGGGCTGAAGCCAGTGGCTGCTCGGCCCGCAGGCCCTGGTTCTCCTCCGTCAGCCGCTTCACCTCGTGGCTCAGGCACTTGTGGGAGGCGGCCAGCTCCGCCTGGGGACGGAGAGTCAGTGCGCGCGATGAGGGGACAAGGGTCTCCAGCTCCCTCTCCCTTCACCCCTCGGGGACTTGGGCTCACACAGTGGCAGCCACCAACCATGCCGGCTGCTTTACTTGGTCCATGTTGGTGGTTGTTTTTTTTACTTTAAATTAGTTGCTAAGTCTAAAAATTGGTAGACGGCCGAAACAGGTTTGGCTCAGTGGATAGAGCGTTGGCCTGCGGACTGAAGGGTCCCGGGTTCGATTCTAGTCAAGGGCATGTACCTTGGTTGCAGGCACATCCCCAGTAGGGGGTGCACAAGAGGCAGCTGATCAATGATTCTCTCATTGATGTTTCTAACTCTATCCCTCTCTCTTCCTCTCTGTAAAAAAATCAATAAAATATATTAAAAAGTAATAATAAAAAATAAAAATTGGTAGATGACACACAAATATCTAGATTTCTGGCTTCTCTCGACAAGCAGAAAAGCTGACAGCACTGAGCTCGAATTCCCACGTGGCGGAGTCCAGGGAGCCGCCTCCTGCGCACCATCTCTCGGCTCCCAGGCTGCTCCTTCCCGCCTCGAGCCTGGCCCAATCCCATCGCCTGCAGCTCTCGTCTGCTCTGGGAAGCATCTGGCCTCGCCACCCCTGCTTTCACTCCTCATCACTCTAAGCTGGGCCCACTGCCTCCGTGTCACGGCGGCAAGGCTGAGGCCCCCAGCCTGTGGCATCGGCTCCAGGTCCAGCAGCAGGAGTGCCCGGGGCTCTCCCTGAACACAAGCCCCTGCGCTGGCCACGGTGCCAGGTGCCCTGGAAACCTTCCACCCACTTGGCACCAAATCCAGGTGCAGCCCGCGCAGGACAGGTGCCCCCACCTTCCATGTGCCCCCCTCAACCAATTCCCATCACGCTCCCCGCCCTCCTGCCCCAGCCCCAGCCCCCAGGTCCTCACCATCTGCAGCTGAACGCGCTCCTGAGCCTGGCTCACGGTCCCCTGCAGGGTCTGCAGCAGCTGCTCCGAGTTCTGGACCTGCGCCAGGAGCACCTGCATCTGTGGGTGGCAGGGGCAAGGGTGAGGCCGGGGCCCAGGAGGAGGCACGCAGCCAGAGGCCCTGCTGGGCTGGAGCAGAGGCTGGACCCACCTGCTTGGCACAGTCCTCATTGCTTCGCCTCAGGCCCTCCTGCAGCTCGTCCCGCTCACGGCTGACGCTCTCCAGGTCCTTCTGCAGCTGCCGCCCCTGCCATGGGCCCGGCCTCAGTCTCAACCTCCAGGCCTCCCCTCACCATGCCTCTTATGCCTCCCCCTCCCCTCTTTTTAAAAATATATTTTATTGATTTTTTTTTTTTAGAGAGAGGAAGGGAGAGAGATAGAGTTAGAAACATCGATGTGAGAGAAACATCAATCAGCTGCCTCCTGCACACCACCTACTGGGGATGTGCCCGCAACCGAGGTACATGCCCTTGACCGGAATCAAACCCGGGACCCCTCAGTCCACAGGCTGATGCTCTATCCACTGAGCCAAACCAGTTAGCCCCCCTCCTTTTTCTGGCATCTTAGTAGGTGGTGCCATGGTCCTCACAGTTGCTCAAGCCCAAAGCCCAGGAATTGATGCTAACTCTTCTCTTTTTTTCCACTCCCCAAGTCCAACCCACCAGCAGGCGCTGCCAATCAGCCTCCAGAGTAGATTCCACATCCACTTCTCCTTATCTCTGCTGCCATCTCCTGGTCCCAGGCACAACCTTCTTCTAAACTATGTCAAGGCCCTAGCTTGGCGCAGTGGATAGAGCATTGGCCTGCGGACTGAAGGGTCCCAGGTTCACTTCCTGTCAAGGGCACATGCCAAGGCTGCGGGCTCAGTCCCCAGGAGGGCTCATGCAGGAGGCAGCAGATCAATGATTCTCTCTCATCATTGATGTTTCTATCTCTCCCTCTCCCTTCCTCTCTGAAATCAATAAACACAGACACACACACACACAAAACAAACAAACAAACAAGATATGTCAAGCACCTCCAACTGGCCAGCCCGCCTCTCCAGTCGCCCTCCCCCAGGACAGCCCCGTCCTACACTGAGGCCCACGTGGTCTGTTGAGCCTAAAGCAGAGCAGGCTTCTCCGTGGTTCAAACCCCTCAGAGGCCTCCCACTGCTCCTTGTCTGAAACGCTCCGTGCCCCGAGGCTGACCTGGGCCTGTCTTCCTTTCTGATCTCCTCTCTCCTCCCTCTCAGTGGCTTTCCTGTGCCTCAGACACACCACGGTCTAGCCATCCTCAGGGCCTTTGAACTTGCAGCCCTTCTGGCCCCTGTCACCAGGAGTGCCTGCCACCATCCAGGTTAGGCTGCAGCCCTGCATGACCTGTTCCTCTGTCCGGGGCCTCGCCGGGGACACTGACCCCCTCACGTGTCCACGTGCACGTGTGGCCTGGCTCCCTCACTTGGTGGAGGCGCCAGGAGGGAGGGTTTTCTCTTCACTGTGGATCCCCAGCTCTGGCTCAGCCTGGGCCCGGCAGGTGCTCAGTAAGTACTGGTGCAAGGAGAGGCGGACGCGTGCAGGCAGACAGGCACCCTACCACGCACTCACCTCCATCTGCAACTGCTCCCACTGGGTGTCTGGGACCAGCTGGTACCCAGGAGGGGGCAGGTAGATGCCCTCGGGGACCAGGGTGCCCGTGGACACCAGAGACGCCGTCTCTTCCTGCTCGGGGCTCAGGCCCTGGCGGCCGCGGGGCAGGGAGGCGCTGCTGCCGGGCCCGCCGCCGAGGGAGAAGGAGGAGATGGAGGCGCTGTCGTCACAGTTGTGGGCGAAGGCCTCGGCCGCTGCACCCCCGTCTCCACTCAGCTCCTCGAGAGGCTCCAGCGGGGGAGACAGGTCCCGGGAGAGAGGCAGCAACTCCGTGGAGCCATGCAGGGAAGCGGGGTGCCGGGGACGTCCCTGGGGAAGGGGGTCAGGGAAGAGGCTGCGGGACAGGGTCCAGCCGCGCCCCTCTCCCCTCGGTGCCCCGGCCTCCCCTCACCTGGATCTCCTGAATCAGCTCCTCGGCCCTCAGCAGCTTCGCCTTCAGCTCCTCTATCTCCTGCTCCATGGGCAGCACGATCTCTCGCAGCTTCTCCGAGTCCTCGTGGGCCTGAAGGGGCGGGGTTGGGCGGCGACAGTCACCCTCCCACTGCAGGCCCCCTCAGGTCTGCTCAGAGCTTCCCTCCCTGTCATCAGCCCCTCCAGCCCCCCCCCCCCCCAGGAAAGTCCTGTCCACCCCCGTCTCAGCTCACAGAGGGGCTGAGCTCAGACCCGCCCCAGGGCACGTGGTAGGTAAAGGGGCCAGAGTCATGACTGTCTCCCCACCTGCTCGCCATGTTTCCTTCCCAACATCCCTTTCCTTTTGTCACAGAAACTAGCATGTGACTTGGGCACACAGCCTATATTCTAGAACACATCCATGTTTCTCAGCTCCCCTGTAACTAAGCATGGCCACGTGACTAAGCTTCAGCTGAGGAGGGGGAGGCAGGTGCCATGTGCTACTTCAGGGCAACTCCTTAAAGGAAGAGTGTGCACCTCCCCCCCCCCCCACACACACACCTTCCTCCTCGCTGGCTAGCATGTGGACAGGGCTGGCACTCACGCAGGCGTCTTGGACATGAGGCAGTAAGCGACCTATGGCTACATAGCAACACAGAAGGAGCCCAAGTCCTAGTGACTTTTTAAAAAATTCTTGTAAGAGCCGAAACCGGTTTGGCTCAATGGATAGAGCGTCGGCTTGGGGACTGGAGGGCCCAGGTTCGATTCCGGTCAAGGGCATGTACCTTGGTTGCGGGCATATCCCCAGTAGGGGGTGTGCAAGAGGCAGCTGGTCGATGACTCTCTCTCATCGATGTTTCTAACTCTCTATCTCTCTCTCTTCCTCTCTGTACAAAATCAAATAAAATATATTTTTTAAAAAAAATAAAAAATTCTTGTAAGAGCCGAAACTGATTTGGCTCAGTGGATAGAGCGTCAGCCTGCGAACTGAAAGGTTCCAGGTTTGATTCCGGTCAAGGGCATGTACCTTGGTTGCGGGCACATCCCCAGTAGAGGGTGTGCAAGAGGCAGCTGATTGATGATTCTCTCTCATCCATGTTTCCAACTCTCTATCTCTCTCCCTTTCTCTTTGTAAAAAAATCAATAAAATATATTTTTTTAAAAACACCCTTGAAAGAGTTTAGGTGAGCCAAACTGATGGCATGCACCAGGGAACAAGATCTCAGTCGCTGTGGAGAACAACAGCTCTGCAGCTTCCCTAAGAGCTGAGCTGCCGTTTCAGTCCTGGAAAAGTCTACCTCAGACCTTGAGAAAATAAACATCTATCTCATTTAAGCCACTGCTGACCTGGGTGTCCAAACATCATTCGACCTAGCATGCCCTCCAGTCACCACCCTGTTGCTGGCTATTCCTTTTTGGTCTCTTTTCAAGTTGGGGTCCTGCTGAGCATCGCAGCTCCAGGAGTGTGAACCCGGTCCCGGTGTCCCAGGACAGCCAACCCTAGCCACGTCACCGCCATCCCATCTCCCGCGAGTGCTAGGTCAGCGAGACCGGCCCTGCTGCCTGGCTGGGGTGCGAGTCAGTGGTGATGGCGTCGGCCCATGGGCCAAAGGGTCTCAGGTTCCATCCCTAATAGGGGCACATATCCGGGCTGCGGACCTGATCCCCAGTCAGGGTGTGCGTGGAAGGCAACCGATGTATGTTTCTCTGTCTCACTGATGTCTCTCTCTCTCTAAAAAACAACAAAAAAAAAAAACCCCAAAACCAAAAACACACACACAACAACAAAAACAAGCTCGGTCTAACCCTCCAATTTCACGTGAACCGTGACAACAGGCAGGGCAAGCCTGTGGGGCCCAAACAAAACGCTCCGGATCCCAGGCTGTGGACTGACCGCGGCCACGGCAGGAGCTGGGCCAGGCCTGCAGCCCCTCCCCGTCCCAGGCTCTCCGGCCGCAGAGCCCTCCCCCCCCTCCACCCTGGGTATCGCTCCTGGAGGAACACCCACATGCAAGCCGCAGCCTCGCTGGGAAGGGGCGGGTGAGACGCCCTCCGTCCTTGGGCTCCTGTTTCGACCTCTGTCTGTCTAACCGGGCGACGGACTCCGTCTCCCTGAGCCTCGGTTTCCTCATGCATAAAATGAGCTAAGTACCTACCTCACAGGGCTGCTGTGAGGATCAAGTGAGGTAACGATGTGAACCTGCTTTGAAAGATGAAGAGTTTGGTAATATGTGCTTCCTACTATTAGTAATAACGAAAACAACAATAAAGGAAGTGATATGCTATTTTCAGAACACAAACTTTAGAACCAGGTGGCTTAGATTTTTTAAGTCCCAAATCTCCTTTCTGTGTGCAAAACCTGGGGAGAATTATTCGCCTTCTCGAGGCCTCATCTTCCTCATCTGTTAAATGGATCAATGGACCTAGTTTTCAGGGGAGAGACTAGGGAGCCTGAATCTGTCACGCAGTCATCAGAGCGCCCAGTGCTGGAGAGGCATCCTGAGGGTCAGCTCCCTGTCCCTACACGACGGTCCTGCATGTTGGAGGTAAGCGAACCTGGTAAAGCCACGAGTCAGCGGCAGGCCAAGACCCTGCTACGTGTGGAACGAGCACCTGCGACACCCAGAATGATGCCTGGGTGCCCTGCTCCCCAGGACCTGGGAGTGGCACGCCAGCACCCCTCTGTCCCACGGCCACCCGTGGGCTCGGGGGGAGGCTCTCCCAAACCCAACCTTCTCCATCTGCTTCTCCAAGGAGTCCAGGGGGTGCGCGCGGGCCAGCAGCTGCTTCAGGCGGCCCAGCTCCTGCTCCCTCTCCTCGCAGTCCTGCTGCTGCTGCTGCCGCTCCTGCTTCAGAGACGCGATCTGGGCTTCGTAGCTGCTGATGGAGTCTGCAGGGCAGGAAGGCGGAGGGGAAGGCTCAGTGTGTGGGCCCCCCTGTGGGTGAGCAGGGGGCTTCCCAACACTAATGCACTGGGCGGGCCTGTGGAGAGATGGCCCTGGACCCTGTTAGCCTCTCTGCATCCGTGTCCTCGGCTGCGAGTGGGGACACTAATGACCCCCACTGGGTGGCTGAAGGATCGAAGATGACTCTGCTGGGTGTTACACATAATGCTGAGGATATGACACCTGGTCCCACATATAGACCAGTAACAGCATATACAGACACGTAAAAACATGCATCAACAAAAATCAATATCTAACATAATGTATATATATGTTTTAAATATATTTTTCAGAGAGGAAGGGAGAGGGATAGGGAGTTAGAAACATCGATGAGAGAGAAACATCTATCAGCTGCCTCCTGCACCCCCGCCCCTCCCCCCCCCTCAGGGAATGTGCCTGCAACCAAGGTACATGCCCTTGACCAGAATTGAACCTGGGACCTTTCAGTTCACAGGCCAACGCTCTATCCCCTGAGCCAAACCGGTTTCAGCTAATGTACTTTTTAAAATACGCAACCAAGGTACATGCCCTTGACCGGAATCAAACCTGGAACCCTTCAGTCCACAGGCCAACACTCTATCTACTGAGCCAAACCAATTAGAGCTAATGTACTTTTACTTACTTATTTTTAAAAATATATATTTTATTGATTTTTCACAGAGAGGAAGGGAGAGGAATAGAGAGCTAGAAACATCGATGAGAGAGAAACATTGACCAGCTGCCTCTTGCACACCCCCTACCGGGGATGTGCCCGCAACCAACATACATGCCCCTGACCGGAATCGAACCTGGGACCTTTCAGTCCGCAGACCGACGCTCTACCACTCAGCCAAACCGGTTTCGGTTATTTACTTATTTTTATTAATGTACTTCTTACTGCAGGGTGTGAACTAAGTTATTGCTTACAAAAATTTGTAATATAACCTGGGCCTGGCCAATGTTGCTCAGTGGTTGAGTATCAACCCATGAACCAGGAGGTCACAGTTCAACTTCCGGGTGGTCCACACTCCCAGGGAGTGTGGGAGGCACCCAATTGATGATTCTCTCTCATCATTGGTTTCTATCTCTCTCTCCCTCTCCCTTCCTCTCTAAAATCATAAACATAAGAATAAATTTATAATATATCCTCTTAAAAAAAAAAAAGTTTTTGCTGCCAGACCACCTGGGTTCAGATCTGTAGCTTTCTAGCTGCACAACCTTGGGCAAGTTACCTGGGCCTCAGTGCTTCCTCTGTAAAATGGAGATAGCTAATAGTTCCTACTTCACAGAAATTGCTATAAAGGTTAAATACTCATAAAGCACTTAGCTCAGAATCTGGCACATATGTGTCAGCCATTATATAAACATGGTTGTTAGGGTATGTTCAATAAACGCTTGCATTATTATTATCACTGTCTTTATGATAGTTTTTCTTATAGGGACAGAAAGTTTCCTTTAAAATAAATGTATGTAGCCAAACTGGTTTGGCTCAGTGGATAGAGCATTGGCCTGCGGACTGAAAGGTCCCAGGTTCGATTCCAGTCAAGGGCACGTACCTTGGTTGCGGGCACATTCCCACTAGGAGGTGTGCAGGAGGCAGCTAATTGATGTCTCTCTCTCATCGATGTTTCTAACTCTCTATCCCTCCCCCTTTCTCTCTGTAAAATATCAATAAAATATATTTTCAAAAATAAATAAAAAATAAGATAAAATAAATGTATGTAAACCCTAACCTGTTTTGCTCAGTGGATAGAGCATCAGCCTGTGGACTGAAGAGTCCCAGGTTCAATTCCAGTCAAGGGCATGTATCTCAGTTGTAGGTTCGATCCCCAGCCCTGGTTGAGGTACATACAGGAAGCAACTAATCAATGTGTCTCTCTTACATTAATGTTTCTCTCCCTCTCTGTCTCTCCCAATCCTTTCCACTCTCTGTAGAAATCAATGGAGCCCTAGCTGTTTTGGCTCAGTGGATAGAGCGTCAGCTTGTGGATTGAAGGGTCCTGGGTTCGACCCCAGTCCAGGGCACATATTCAGGTTGCGGGCTCAATCCCCAGTAGGGGGTGTGCAGGAGGCAGCTGATCAATGATTCTCTTCATCATTGATGTTTCTATCTCTTCCTCCCTCTCCCTACCTCTCTGAAATAAATTTAAAAAATATTTTAAAAAAGAATCTTAAAAAAAAAGCTCCCTAAAAATAAATAAATAAAATAAAAATCAATGAAAAAATATCCTCAGGTGCAGATTAATAAATTAAATGTATGTACTTTTTTAGAAAAGTGGACCTATTTAGCCGAAACCGTTTTTGGCTCAGTGGATAGAGCATCAGCCTGCGGACTGAAAGTTCCTGGGTTCAATTCCAGTCAAGGGCATGTACCTTGGTTGCGGGCACATCCCCAGTAGGGGGAGTGCAAGAGGCAGCCGATCAATGATTCTCGCTCATCGATATTTCTAACTCTCTATCCCTCTCTCTTCCTCTCTGTAAAAAAAATCAATAAAATATACCATATTAAAAAAAAAAAAGTGGACCTATTTAAAGAACAAGTAGTAAGCAGGGCAAGTCATACAGGAGACAACCATATCGCAGAGGTAGTATGTGGAAGCCTGAGATGTGGGAAATACAGCCCCAGAAACCTGGAGGTGGAGCCACTGTTAGAAAAGCAAGGGGCACGGTGTGGTGGGAATTTCAGAAAGTGTACTCTGGCCCTGACCGCTGTGGCTCAGTGGTTAGAGCACCGGCCTTCAGACTGAAGGGTCCCAGGTTTGATACACATCCCCAGTAGGAGGTGCGCAGGAGGCAGCTGAACGATGTTTCTCTCTCATCGATGTTTCTAACTCTATCCCTCTCCCTTCCTCTCTGTAAAAAACACAATAAAATATATATTTTTAAAAATAAAACTGGAGTGGCTCAGTGGCTGAGCATCGACCTATGAAGCAAGAGGTCACGGTTTGATTTCCAGTCAGGGCACATGCCTGGGTGTGGGCTCAATCCCAGTGGGAGATGTGTAGGAGGCAGCCACTCAATGATTCTCTCTCTTCTATCTTTCTCTCCCTTCCTCCCTGAAATCAATATAATCAATAAAAATACAGTTAAAAAAGGAAAGTGTACTCTGGAAGCCAATGTCAAGGCCAGGTTATAGAGGAAATCTGTGAGAAGTCCAGAGCTTCACTGCAGCAGTGGCTGGGGGAGCAGAGGGGGGACAGGACTGGAAGCTATTTCAGAGCCTGGCCTCTGACTAGAGGAGAAGGGGGAAACAGAAATAGAAGCTACGGGATCTGGGGCAATGGATGGTGTTGCATCCCAAGTATCGATACATACAGGGAAGTCAATGCACGTGTGTGTGGCAGGGGCAGGTGCGGATGATGGAAGGGTGCTGGGGAAGGGAGGAAACCAGAGGGTTAGACACCAAAGAGACAGGGCCCAACGCTGAGTCCGGAGCCCAGAGGCTCAAATGAAGGAGGTTCAGGGAATTGAGAAGTTGCTCATCTTCAGGGCTGATCAGTGAGGGACAAGAAGTGACAAGGAAACAAGCTCAGAGCCACACTTAGCTGGAACTGCCAGCTGCTGCCAGCACAGGTATGCCACTGTGCCAATTAGACAAGGGTGCCCCTCCCTATGGGCCCATAGGCCTGCCCTGGGCTAGGCCGCCCTGCCAACTTACCGCCCACCCCAGAGAGGGACGCACTCCCCTCTATGGCGCCGATGGAGAGTCTGCGAAGAGACCCTGACTCACCTTTCAGGATGGCCTGCAGGGAAGCAACCTCCTCCTGGCACTGCCGCTGCACCGCAGCCACGGCCTCGGCCTTCGTGCTCTCGCTCACCTCGGCCACGGCCTTCATGGTCTCCATTTCTGCCAGGGCGCCTGCCAGCTCAGCTCGAAGTCGGCAGAGTTCCCCTGACTCGGCCTCGGCCTTCGCGCCCTCCTGGGGCTGGGGATCAAGCACTGTGGGGAACAAGAAGCAGCCTCTCTTCCCATCACTCCAGAGTCCCCAGTAACCCTGGCCACCAAACCCCAAAGTCCAGCAACCCCGTAATGCTGCCACCGCGGCCCCCGCCCCTTCCCCAGACCCGCCACGCTCACCTGGCCCCGCCTTCTTCTCACCTAATTCGACTGGTACTGTATAGTCCCGCCTCTCCCCACGGTTCACCCAATCCGCTTGCTCTGACATGACCCCGCCCTTCCTACGTCCCGCCCCTTGCCCACCTGGCCCCGCCCACACCTCCTCACGGGGCCCACCTCTCAGCGGGTCCCACCCTGGAATCCCAGGCCACGCCCACCCGCCGGTGTTTACAGACCCCGCCCCTTTCTCCAGTTCCCCCCCCACCACCAACCCCCCCGCCGGCTGCCGAGCTGGGCCCGCCTCCGGCTTTGCCGACCCTCCATGCACCGACTCGTCCTCACGTACCGGGCCCCGGCCGCCGCCGCCCGCCATCCTCGCCCGCGGCCGCCGGCGCAGCTGCCGCCATTGCCTTCGCGCAAACGGCGGGATCCCGCACTCCCAGGTGACCGAGCTCACCGCTTCCGGGTCCTCTCGGCTGTTTCCGGATCCGCTCGGCTGTTTCCGGATCAGCCCCGCTAGAGGCCGAGGAGATCCGTGTGGACACCCGGCCGCGGTGCCGCACCCCGCCCCTCTCCGCCTTCCTTCCTTCCTGGGGAGGCTCTTGGAGGACACCAGCTCTCCAAAACCCCGAGTTCTTTCCCCCAAAGGCTTCCCAGTGTCTCCGTGTGGCCTGGAGCTCTGCTCAAGGCCGCCTCCTCGGAGGTGCCCGCCGGCCTCAGCCCCGGGTGGGCGAGCTCTCGCGGCCTCCCGAGCCCGGAGCCCGGAGCCGGCTCCTGGCGGGGCCCCTGCCGCCTTCCGCGGGGCCTGGCTCACGTTCCAGCGATTGCGGCCAGGCCTCCTGCCCCGCCGCCCTCGGGAGGCGTCCCTCGGGGCAGGGCCGGGTCGGCTCCACTTTTCTGGGCGCCTGAGTCCCCGCGTCGTCAGTCAGTGGTTTAAGTCTGGCGCTGACGGTCCCCACCCCACTTTGATGTTCAACCATTCGCCGCTTCCTGCTGATACCTCTCCCGTCCAGGTCCAGTGCCTCTCAAATCCATCCTCTCCTCCCTCTGCCGTTGCCGGGTCAAGCTCTTATCTGAGACATCCCCCCTTGGACAGTAACAAGAAACTCAAACTTAATTCAGAGCTTTGATTCCCCTTCTCTCAACCCGTTCCTCCCTCTGTAGAGCACACCCCAGGGGCCCGGAAGTCCTGTAAACTTCCTCCAAAGGACTGAGTTGGAGGACGTGTCCCTTTGTCTTCATCTCCAGGTCTGAAACCCAGCCCTAGTGCAATCATCTCTCCCCTGAACTTCCAGAATAACTCCTAACTGCACCCCCGTGTGGCCTTCAGGCTCCTGAGTTATTCTCAAAGCAGCTGGAGCCACCTGTGAAACACATCATGTCATCCCTGCTTAAAGTCTAGTTCAGTCCAGTTTGAAAATGGGCAAAGGACGGGAATGGATGTTTCGCTGATGTCACAGATGGCATATTTGCACATTCAACATTATTAGCCATTAGGGAAACCAAACTAAACCACAAGTAGATATCACTACACTCCTCCCCGGGGGCTGGCTAAAATAGGAGAGTGAGAACACCATGTGAAATGGAATTCCTCACATATTCCTGATGGGAATGTATAATGGTATAGTCGCTCAGTATGGCAGTTTCTAACAAAACTGAACATGACTTACTGCAACACCGAGCTTTAAACTGCAAGGTCTCAGCTCAAAAGTCACCTCCTCATCGAGGCCTTCCCTGACCACCCCATCCAAATTAGCCATCCCGGATCACCTGGCCACCATCGGATTGCATTAGAGACTTCTCACCACTGAAATTACCTATCGGTTAACTTATTACCTGCCCCCCCTCTGACCTTCTGTGGCCCCAAAATTCAAATCAAAGCTCCAGGAGATCAGGAACATTGTATTTCTTTTTTTTTTTTTTAATATATATTTTATTGATTTTTTACAAAGAGGAAGGGAGAGAGATAGAGAGCTAGAAACGTCGATGAGAGAGAAACACCAACCAGCTGCCTCTTGCACATCCCCCACTGGGGATGTGCCTGCAACCAATGTACATGCCCCTGACCGGAATCGAACTTGGGACCTTTCAGTCCGCAGGCCGACGCTCTACCACTGAGCCAAACCGGTTTTGGCTTGTATTTCTTGTCCCCGCTCTTTCCCCAGCACCTAGCAGCAGTCCCTGAGAAATAAACATCCGGGAATCAATGGATGAGCACTCTCCTCACGGGTCTCTCCGGTCTCCCTCCAATTCCCCTCCGCACCGCAGCCAGTGGGAGTTGTTAGAAAGTGCAAACCTGGCCAGACCAATGCCTGGCTTATAAATCCCCAATAGCTCACTGCCCTAGCAGCTTCCTGTCCTCAGGACTCCCTGTGTGTGTGGCACGGTTTCTCGGGGAGGGGGTGAAATGATGACTGTAACAAAGATCCAGTCAGCTCTCAGGCTGGGCCTATCCTGAGGCCCTTGGGGTCACTGGAGTCCATTGAGCAGGGGAAGCACATGATTAAGACCAAGGAAGCTCTCTATGGGGCATCGGTGGGAAGCAAAAGAGGTAGAAGACAGAGCTCCTCCCCCGCCACACACACACACAAAAGAAGGCCATTGAAATGGTTCTAGTTGGGAAGGGAAGAGTCCAAAAAGGGGAGAAAGTTGGTTCTAGAAATAGCTAGGCTAGAAGATGACATTTTGGTAACTGTGCATGGCGGGGAGAGAAAAGGAGGTTTTCTTTCTTTCTCCCTAACTTCCTTCCCTTATTCAACAAAGCTTACCAACACCTCTAGTAGTCAGTGAAAAGACAGTGAGATCCCTGTTGTGGAAGAGGGGATGCGGGCAGGAGGCACCTGAGGAGGCTAACAGCAGACTTTGGGCTGGGTAAGTGCTGGGAAGGAGACAAACAGGGTCAGGGACAGCCTCTCAGAAAGTCACACTTAACTGAGACTGAATGATGGGAAGGAGCTGTTCAGAGGGGCAGAGGGTGGAGGTGGGGGGAATGGAAGTAGGGGGGAGTGGGGTGGAAGTGGAGGTGGGACAGCCTCGCTCAGCCCTTTGGGGACATGATTACAAGTTGTTGTTTTTTTTTTTAAATATATTTTATTTTAGTTTAAAAATATATATTTTATTGATTTTTTTACAGAGAGGAAGGGAGAGAAATAGAGAGCTAGAAACGTTGATGAGAGAGAAACATCGACCAGCTGCCTCCTGCACACCCCCTACCGGGGATGTGCCCGCAACCAAGGTACATGCCCTTGACCGGAATCGAACCTGGGACCTTTCAATCCGCAGGCCGACACTTTACGGCTGAGCCAAACCGGCTTCGGCCGAGTGTTTTTAAGTGGACAAGAAGCCGCTGCGTGGTTCTAGGCAGAGCACTGTTGGCTCTCGAAGGCTTTGCTCCGGAGGCAGCAGGGATGCTAATGGCAGGATCAGAGAGATTCTGTTGAATGAAAGGCAAAAACCCCACACAAAAAACCCCATAAAAAACAACAACAAAAAGGCCTGCCTCCTCACCCTCTTCGTTCCCCAGTGCCCACTCTTCCCCCTGCCAGCTGCCAAAAGGAAGTGGGGGCCTGACAGATGGGGGGGTCCCCTGGGGTTTGCCCGAGGCAAACAGGAAGTCACAGCCCAGTGAGGCGGCTCTGGGAACCGGCCCCTGAGCAAGCAGGTCTCCTAGGTCCCCAGCCTCCTCCCCTGAGTGGCTGCAGCCCTGCAGACACCGATAGGCAGACATACGTACACTGAGGGGAGTGGTAACACCCTACCTTTGTGTGGGCCTCAGTTTCCTCATTTCTAAATGGGTCCTTCCATAACTGAAGCAGGGCTTCCTAGGAGAGAACTGGGAGAGAGTGGGGATGGGTCGTTGGTTGCCTCTCAGGCCACTGCAGGGAGCTGCCCGGGTGCCGCCTGGCTTGAGCTCAGCCATTGCCTGATGCTGTCCCTCAGGCGCTGGGCGCCGGGCTGAAGATGCCATGTGTCTATCGTCCTGCTTAATCTTCATAAACAGCACTTTAATAGCCCTGACCGGTTTGGCTCAGTGGTTAGAGCGTCGGCCTGCGGACTCAGGGGTCCCAGGTTCGATTCCAGTCAAGGGCACGTACCTGGGTTGCGGGCACATCCCCAGTAGGAGGTGTGCAGGAGGCGGCTGATCGATGTTTCTCATTGATGTTTCTGACTCTCTATCCCTCTGCCTTCCTCTCTGTAAAAAACAATAAAATATATTTAAAACAACAATAACAACAACAAAATACCCACACTTTAATAGTACTATTATTACCTCCAGTTTACAGAGAAAGAAACAGAGGCTTAGACAGACAAAGAAATTTAATCAAGTAGTAGAGGCAGAGGATTCAAACTCAGGCCTGCCAAATCCCGAAATACCTGGGATAGGCTGGTGGTATAGGAGTGATGGTGGCCCAAGTATTGGTTGAGTGAGGAAATGAAGGGTGTGTGTGTGTGTGTGTGTGTGTGTATGTGGTGGGGAGAGGAGGGAGGGAAATGGATTTGGAGCCTGAGGTTGGAGGAGGGAGGAGTGGAATCAGGAGGGAGCCCCTACGACTGGGTCCACTCATTCCACAGACATTCATTGGGCACCTTCATGTGCCGAGCGCTGCTCAGGGCTCCGTGCTCCCATCTGTGCTGCAAGGGGCTTCCTCTCGCCGGGGGAACAGAAAGTGAGCAAATGGACTCCAGACCATTTCACTTCACTGGTGTGAGTGCTGGGATGGAAATAAACCGAGGCAGCCGGAAGGAGGGGACTTTTGTGGGTCTGGAGAGGTGCACGGAGAAGGGGGCCTGAGGCGTGACCACCCCTTCCTCCCCGAGGGGAGGGGAGGGGACTGCCCACCCGCCCCCGCAAACACCTATGGTTCAGTGCCCCACAGCCCCCCACTTGCCCCAGCATCCCCTGCGCGGGGAAGCTGGGTGCCTCGGAGAGTCTGGCCACCATGCCACCTCCTCTCCTCTTCTTCTTCCTCCTCTTCCTCACCCCGGTGGGAGTCAGGCCCCAGAAATCTCGGCTGGTGGAAGCTACAGGTATGACCCAAGGGCACAGATGGAAGGGGCCAGGGCTGGACACCTGGGTTCAGGCTGGATGCCCTTGGCCAAGTAACATTCCCTCTCTGAGCCTCCATTTTCTTCATTGTAAAATCCAGGCCAGGCTGAATGGTGCTGAAGGCTCATGGCTCCCAGTGGGTGGGGAATGGGGTCACTGGGGTTGTAACCCAGTGAGAGGCTGAAGGGGGCTATCTGCTCCCCTCACCCCATCCCCACTCTCTCTCCGCAGAGGGAGGCAATGCTGTGCTGTCGTGTCTTTCCTCCGAGGATAACCACGATCAGGTGGCCTGGTATCAGGCGTGCCAGGCGCAGCGGAACCGGAGCCGAGGGCTGCCAGGCCTGGGCACCCAGGTGTGGCCCCCGGGCATCCTGCTGCTCATCTCCAACATCTCTGACGAGATGGGGGGCTTCTACCTGTGCCAGCAGGGGCCCCCTTCCGAGCAGGCCTGGCAGCCTGGCTGGGCAGTCAGCGTGAACGGCAGCGGTGAGGTCTAGGGTGGGGCAGGGAGGGCTGGATGAGAAGAGGGAAGCCCAGCGGGGAAGGAGGAGGATCTGAGGGGTGGGGCTGGAAGGCCTAGGGTCCAGCAGGAAGCCAGTTGTAGGTGCTCCTGTAAACGCCTACGGCTTTGGGACGTCAACACTGAACCACTCCGTGTCTCTCTGTCTCCTTTCTCTCGGAGACGCTGCTTCTCTGTCTCTCTCTGGATCTTTGTTCCTGTTTACTTGTGTCCTTCTGGGTCTCTCGCTTTCTTTGCCTTTCCTTGATGTCTCTGTACCTGGTTCCGGGTCTCTTCCAGGGGAGCGGTTCCGCTGGAAGGCTTCAAACCCAGATGACCCGGGCTGTGACCCGGGGAACAGGTCTGCAGAGGACCTGGGGCCCTCGTCTGATGGCCTCACAAGCTCCCAGCTATACGTATGGGCCGAAGACCACCCCGAGCTCAGGGAGAAAGACCCTGCCTGTGCCCCCCCTCAGGGCAGCTCAAACCAAGGTAAGGTGCTAGGGAAACGCCAGGAGGCGAGGGGCCAGGGATGGAGGGTGGCGACTGGGAACTGGAGGGTTGGTTTGTGGGGGAGGAGACTCTGAGGCCGACACCAGCCTTGCCTCTCCTTGCCCCAGACCTCACAGTGCCCCCTGGCTCCACGCTCTGTCTGCCCTGCGGGGTGCCTTCTGCTTCTGTGGCCAGAGGACCCGTCTCCTGGATCCACGTGCACCCCGGAAAGCCCAACATCTCATTGCTGAGCCTGAACCTGAGCGAGGAGGCTCCCGTCAGAGAGATGTGGGTCCTGGGCACCCTCAGCGGAGGGGTTGTTCTGTGGCTGCATCAGGCCACGGCTCGAGATGCTGGCGCCTATCATTGTTACCATGGCAACAGGACCGTTGAGATGCAGCTGAAAGTCACTGCCTGGTCAGGTAGGGTTTCTCCCAGTTGTGGGCCCAGTGTGTAGAGCTCCTGGGAAGAACTGGAAGCCAGCCCGCCTGGGCTCCTCTTGGCTAGTACAGCCGCGCCTGAGACCCAACCCCTACGCTGAACGCTGACGACACCTCTTTCCTCCCTGCTTCCAAGATCCTGCTTCTCGGGGTCTCCTCCTGCCCCTGGCTGCCCCTGTCCATCAGCGCTGGTAGCGCCTTCCTCCCCCACTGCTCACCTCTGGGGTCCTGAGCCCCCTTCTCATCCCTGTTCACACTCTCTCACTCTTGTCTACACACCCTTCCTATGGAACCCCCTTTCCTCTCTTGGCTCCTCAGACCACCAGGCCTTGGTGACTGGCTTCCAGGCTCCATATGCCCACCCCCAGCCTCTCCTGGAGTGGCCATGGGATGCCCCCTGGGCACGGTAGCTCAACATGTACAAGAAAGTGAAACTCGGTGTGCTCCCCAAGCAGAGTCTCCTGGGCGACTCTGTGGAAGTGAAGAATTTACCACTTGCCCACGTGCCAAAGCCAGGAATGTGGGCACCCTGCCTTTGCCTTACCTCACCCATCAAATCTGTCACAGTGATCTGCCCATTTTCTACCCTAACACAATCCGACCTGCTACCCTCAACAGTTCTCAATCTCAACTTCCACTCCAACTTTACCTCAGCACCTTGCTGCCTCCCACCTTCACCTTTGTGAGCTCAACTCTGCCCTCCACTTTGACTGTGGCCATATATATATATATATATATATATATATATATATATATATATATTTTACAGAGAGGAAGGGAGAGGGATAGAGTTAAGAAACATCGATGAACCTATGAACCTGATGGGATAAGACCCAGGCATTTCTTTAAATCTCAGAGGTGCTGAGACTGGTTTGGCTCAGTGGATAGAGCGTCGGCCTGTGGATTGAAAGGTCCCAGGTTTGATTCCGGTCAAGGGCATGTACCTTGGTTGCAGGCACATCTCCAGTAGGGGGTGTGCAAGAGACAGCTGATCGATGATTCTCTCTCATCGATGTTTCTAACTATCTCCTTTCCTCTCTGTAAAAAAAAAAAAAAAAAAAAAAAAAATCAATAAAATAAAAAAATCTCAGAGGTGGCAGTAAACTTTTCAGTGTTGCTGTTAGCAAGTGTGTTTGCCAATAGATATCCACGTGTACTAATGTGCCAACAAGTAAAAGTTAATTGCACATCTGCTTCCACTGTGTCCCACGGGTGCCATTTAGTGTGAGAGCCTTGTCTCGAGGAATGGACGCTGCATTGACTACTGCTATCAGATTGTGCTGTGGGTATAATCATCTACATAAATTTTTTAAAAAAAATATATTTTATTGATTTTTTACAGAGAGGAAGGGAGAAATATAGAGAGCTAGAAATGTCGATGAGAGAGAAACATTGATCAGCTGCCTCCTGCACACCCCCTATTGGGGATGTGCCTGCAACCAAGGTATATGCCCTTGACCTGAATTGAACCTGAGACCCTTGAGTCCGCAGGCCAATGCTCTATCCACTGAGTCAAACTGGCTAGGCTGCTAGGGCGACTGTGGCTGCTCTTAACTGCAGCAGGAAGCTGGTCATCCTCACCTTAAGCCTGACGTTTCATGGTTTGCTTCCTGGCTGCTTCCCCAGGCCTGTGCCAGGCTCGGAGGCCCAGGCTGGTCCTCAGAGGGAAGGAGGAGAGCCCTCTTTGTAGCTGGGGACTTGGAGGCTCGGCGTCTAGCCCTGTCCCCCAGATTTATGGCCCTTTGGGGTCAGGTCTCGGGGCCAGGAAACAAGATGCCAGCCTGGTCCTGGTCTCATAGCTCCTTCCCCCAGCAGTGCGGCGGTGGCTGCTGAAGGCTGGAGGCTGGCGGGTCCCGGTGGCGGCCTTGGTGTACCTGATCTTCTGCATGGGCTCGGTGGCCGGCTTCCTTTACCTGCGAAGAGGTGAGTCATGTCCCCCAAAGGGTCTGCCAGCCCTCACACCGTCTCCTGCAGGGGGAGCCCACACTGGCCAGTCTTACACTGACTCTCCCCCCGCCCCCCAGACGTTACAGTCCTGCCCCCCTCCCCTTCTCTAAGTGCCCTCCAGACTTCCCAGCCCCTAGGAATTTGAACTCCCAGCTCCTCCATTGACCCAAGCAACCTCCCCAGCACCCCAAAATCTTCACCCAGCAGGGAGCTCTTCCTCTGACATTCCCATTAACTCCCACCAGCCCTGACCCTGAGGAGGAAAAGAAAGCGAATGACAGACCCCACCAGAAGGTAAGAATGTGGGTACCCCCGGCCCCCAGAATCCCACTCCTGCGCTTCCACTGAATGCTTTGCTTGCTGTTTGCTCTGCGGAGGGAGGGCGCCTTTATCCCCACCTCCCATAGCCCAGCTCCAAAGCCACCTCTTCTGGGAAGACCTCCTTGGAGCGACCCCAGAGCCCCCCTGCAGGCTGTCCTGGCACCGAGCAGCTGATGACAAGTGACCACCTTCCAATCTCTGAGACCTGGCCTGCACCCCGGGGTGTCTCCCCAGCCCCTCCAGGCCAGGCCTAGCGCACCCCCTTCCTCCTCCAGGTTCTTCAAAGTGACGCCTCCCCCGGGCAACGGGGCCCACAGCCAGTACGGGAACGTGCTCTCCCTGTCCTCGCCCACGGCTGGCACGGGTAGGAGGCCGGGCAGGGTCACCGGGCTGGGACCCCCTTCCCCGCTCCGCAATCCCCAGAGCTCCCGGCGCCCCGGCTCTGAGCTCCGACAGCAAAGACCCCCCCCGGGGCGGAGCCAGAAGCAAAGACCCGCCCCGGGGCGGAGCCATAAGCAAAGACCCGCCCCGGGGCGGGGCCAGAAGCAAAGACCCCGCCCCGGGGCGGAGTCAGAAGCAAAGACCCGCCCCGGGACGGAGCCCCAGCCAGCGGTGAGCCCCGCCCTTAGGACCCAGGCCGGGCCCCAGGCTTGGGACCGAAGTTCTGTTCCGAGTAGAACAGACGCGCCCGGGAACGGGAGGCCACGCCCCTGGTTCGGATTCGGTGCCTAGACTCCCCGCCAGCCCAGACCATCCTCTCCCGCGCCCGCGCGCAGACCTCGGCCCTGACGCCCAGTCCCCTCCTCGCCCCCACCTCGCCCCCCTGCAGGACGCTTCCACCGGTGGGCTACAGGCCCGGCCGCCGCCGTCCAGTCCTACGGAGTAAACCCGTACAACGAGGTCCAGGAGGCTGGAGCCGCGGGGTCCCGGAGCCGGACCGGGGCAGCTGGTGATGGTGCAGGGTCTTTACTCCTGTGTGGGGGTGTCGGAGTCCTCTGTGGCAGGAATAGGTAACTGGGGCCCTGAGAAAGGGGGCCATGACTCGGTCCCACCCCTACCCCCAAATCCCAGGCCCAGACGAAGAAGAAGGGGAGGCGTATGAGGAGCCGGACAGTGAGGGGGGCTCCTATGAGAACGACTCCAACCTGGGCCAGGACCAGCTCTCCCAGGGTAAGACGGCCCCCCCCCCCCCGCTGCCTCCGCCTCCTCAGGGGGGCTGTGGACCCTCGCTGGACCCCCCTCCCGCTCTCTCCACAGATGGCAGCGGCTACGAGAACCCTGAGGACGGGGCCCTGGGTCCCGAGGAAGAAGACTCCTTCTCCAATGGTGATTGGGTCCTCCTGGAGCCTCAGAGCCTCGTGGGGACCCATGGAGCTCCTACAGGGCAGGGGCGGGCCCTGACATTCCCTTTTTCTGCAGCATCTGAGCTGTATGAGAACGAGGACGAAGAGCTGGCCCAGCCCGTGGCCAGGACAAAAGGTGTGTGTGTGTGTGTGTGTGTGTGTGTGTGTGAGGATGGTCACACCCTGGAAGCGTGAGTGCTGGTGGTGGTGGTGATGGTGTGTGTGACGAGGTGACCAGAAGCAATAGTGACTCCCTTCTCCCTTCTTCAGACTTCCTGAGCCCCCCTGGGACTGCCTGGGACCCCAGCCGGGAGGCAACATCCCTTGGTGAGAAACGCTTAGGACCTGCCCAGATTGGGTTGGCCTGGTCTCAGCTCTAATTCCAGGCAGATCCTTGACTTTGCTTCGACCCCCAACCCAAGCCCAATCCTGATCTTAGATTTGACTCTTACTTAAAACCTCAACACCTCCCCCAGCCCTAATTGAAACTCCAGTATTTGCCCCTTCCCTAACCATGAACATCAACCCTGATCCCAACCCAATTCCAGCCTGGACTTTGACCTCCACCTCACATCCGCCCCAATGCAGACCTTCGCTTGGACCCCAGCTCTCTTTCTTTCTTTTCTTTCTTTCTTTCTTTCTTTCTTTCTTTCTTTCTTTCTTTCTTTCTTTTTTTTTTTTTTAATATATTTTATTGATTTTTCACAGAGAGGAAGAGAGAGGGATAGAGAGTTAGAAACATCGATGAGAGAGAATCATCGACCAGCTGCCTCTTGCACATTCCCCACTGGAGATGTGCCCGCAACCCAGGTACATGCCCTTGACCGGAATCAAACCTGGGACCCTTCAGTCCGCAGGCCGACGCTCTATCCACTGAGCCAAACCGGTGCCGGCCCCAGCTCTCTTTCTATAACCTCCTCATAATTCTAACTTGGACTCTTTCCAATTCTGTTCTTTTTTTTTTTTTAATATGTGTAATTTTTCTTTTTTCATAGCTTGACTTAAAAGTGGGTTCTTTTGATTTTGTTTTTATTTCAGAGAGGAAGGGAGAGGGAGAGAGAGAGAGAAACATCAATGATGAGAATCATTGATCAGCTGCCTCCTGCATGCCCCACATGGGGATTGAGCCTGCAACCTGGGTATGTGCCCTTGGCCAGAATTGAACCTGGGACAACTTCAGTCCTCAGACTGACGTTCTATCCACTGAGCCAAACCAGCTAGGGCTCCAATTCTGTTCTTAACTATTTCTCTGACCAAGACTAAAATCTAACCCATACCTGACTGAACCCTAAAATTAGCAAGGACCCCAAACCTGATGCTGACCCCAATCACTCCTTCCTAGTACCTGGGTCAAGCCTCCCACCTCTCCCTGCCCCTCAGGCGCCCTCCATATCTTAGGCTGCACTTCCCTTCCCCAAACCCCCAGCGTGGCTCCCAAACCCCCAGCTCCCCGTCTCCTGCCCACACAGGGTCCCAGTCCTATGAGGACATGAGAGGGATCGTGTATGCCGCCCCCCAGCTCCGCTCCCTTCGGGCCCCGCCTGGCCCCAATCACGAGGAAGGTGGGTGCTTCTGCTGCTGTCCCCTGGTGTCCTCTGAGGCTGATCTCTCCCAGCCTCCTCCCAGCTCCGTGTTTCCCTCCTGCCTGGTCCTCACCAGATGCGGATTCTTATGAGAACATGGACAATCCTGATGGGCCAGAACCAGCGTGCGGAGGAGGGAGCCACAAGGGCGCCTGGAGCTCCCGCTGATTCCCTGCAGGTGAGCAGGGAGCTGCCCTCTGTGGAAGGAGGGAGAGGATGGCAGGGATGGGAGTGGGTGTGGCACTCGGGGGGAGGGGAGAAAGGGTTCCCAAGGCCTGGTGGGCAGGGGGAGAGCTCCTGGACTCTCCCCATCACAGTTTCTCCTGCATGCCCTGGGCTCCTCAGGTTCCTGAGTCCACACCCGACTGAGATCTGGGGACCCAAAGCAGATGATGTCAACCTCAAGCGACACTGCTCAGGATATGTGTACCCATGTGTATGTGTGTATGCGCGCGCGCGTGTGTGCGTGTGTGTGTGTGTGTGTGTGTGTGTGTGAAACGTCAGTCCCGTTTGCGCTGCCCAAATAAACTCCACGAGCTGTTCCAATCCTCTGATGTGGTGCCCTTGTGTGGGGGGTGGGGAAGGTGAGGACGGGGCATTCCTATCCTCTCAAATCCATTGGTGGGAAAGCTGCATCTTGGGCACAACAGGGCCTTTTCCTCCCTCTGTCTTGGCCTACACCATCTCCCCTGCTTGCCTGCCATTCCCACCATCAGTTGTTCAGTCATTGTTCATTCAGGAGTTGTATGCTGGGTGTGCAGTGAAAAGGAAGCGATCCAGGAATTGGCAGCCATCACTGGCGTTTATTGAACATCTATTATGTTCTCACATCAATTAACTTATTTAATCTTGACAGTAACCTCCCCAAGTTATGTGCCAGGATTGTATTAAAGTATTCCACATATTTTACATATGTATTATGTATATGTGTGTTTTTGTATATTAGCTAATTTTATCTTCACAAACATCCCTGTTTTCTCAAAGAGGAAACTGAGGCAGAGAAGCTAAATAACATGCTCAAGCCTTGCCTAGTTAGTAAGTGCTGGGGTCTGGATCTGAACTCCGGCTGTCTGATTCCAGAGCCTAAACTTAGTCTTTTTAAAAAATATATTTTTATTGATTCCAGAGAGGAATGGAGAAGAGGAGAGAGATAGAAACGTCAGTGATGACAGAGAATCATTGATCGGCGGCCTCTTGCACGCCCCACACTAGGGATCGAACCCACAGCCCAGGCATGTTCCCTGAGTGGGAATCGAACCGTGACCTCCTGGTTCATAGGTCGACACTCAACCACTGAGCTATGCCAGCTGGGTGAGCCCATACTCAATCTCCCTCCTAGGTGCAATTCTGCAGATGGGAAACTGAGAGCCAGGGTCAACTAACATGTCTAAGGTCACACAACTAGCACTCCACAGAGCTGGGTCTGAGTCCAGAAATCCAGCCGCCATTCTAGCCACTGTGCCCACCTCCTGATCAACTGCCTACTTCTGATAAAACCACCAGCAAAAAGACTTCCAGAACTAAAAGTCTCCAGGCCCTGAAGCCATTTTGTAGAAGCTCCGCCACACTCCAATTCGTTTCTCAGGCGAGTGTGGAACCAGCTGCCTTCTGCCTGTCTCCCAGCTCCGGTGCTCTCCGAAGCCCAGGGCTGGCTGAAACCCAGCCCCTCGTCTGCTCAGGAAGTGCCGATGTCTTTGCAAGACTGACTAGACTTTTCAGCATCTACAGTTTTATTTCCACAATGACTTTTCCTAATGTACCAGTTCTTTCTTCTAATGTCCTGTGTTTGTCTTAGAGATTCTATTCCTTCTCTTCCTCTGACCCTTTAAAACTTACTTTAACACTATTATTACGCACCGGGCATTATTCTAAGAAGTGCTTTATGGGAGCATCTCGTTTCATCTCTATAACCTCTTAGGAGGAAGGTACTAAAATAATTGTCAATATACAGCTAAGAGAGAAGTACAGAGAAAGTACTCAGCTGCTAACTGACCTTAGGCAGTCTACCTCAACGCCATGGCACTCAGTCTTCCCAGTTGTAAACCGTGGGAGGGAAGGGGCCTGCCTGGCTGTCCGCACACGGGTGATGCTCCCAGGGCAGTGTCGCCGGGAAGGCTCCTTTGACGTCTGTGAGTTACCTGCGCCACGGCCCCCCTGGGGCCAGCTTGCCTTGGCTTCTGCCAGTCTTACCGGCTGCACAGGTTTGACCGTTTTATTCCTGAGTTTCCCAGAGCAGGTTTCTGCACCCGAGGTTTGGTCTGAGTCCAGGTTCACACTCTGGCTTTCTGCCGTGACTGCTCCCAGCCACGGCCGTGGGGTGGCGTGCTCCCATGTCACCCCGAGGCAGGGGCACGGACTTCTTTCCTCTGTCTTCTGTGCCCGGGAGAGACAGCCTCCTCTCAGCTCTCAGCCTGGGCAGTGCACTCCCCCTCAGCTCTCTGCTGTCCCAGGCCTCCGCCTGACCTGTTCCCATGTGAGCGGAAAACTCCATCCCAGCTTCCCGAGGGCTGCTGGACTTCATCCCCCCTCACCGTCGTGGCTTTGCTTCCCTCCTCCTCCTCCTCCTCCTCCTCCTCCTCCTCCTCCTCCTCCTCCTCTTCTTCTTCTTCTTCTTCTTTTTAATGTATTTTATTGATTTTTTTACAGAGAGGAAGGGAAAGAGATAGAGAGCTAGAAACGTCAATGAGAGAATCATAGATCAGCTGCCTCCTGCACATCCCCCACTGAGGATGTGCTCGCAACCAATGTACATGCCCTTGACCGGAATCGAACCTGGGACCTTTCAGTCTGCAGACTGACGTTCTATCCACTGAGCCAAACTGGTTTTGGCTGCTTTCCTTCTTTATTTTTAGCACCAGGAAGGTTCTGTCTTGCTTTTGAGCTAAACACTCTTTAATATGTATACATATATTTTTTAGCCCTAGCCTGTTTGGCTCAGTGGATAGAGTGTCAGCCTGGGGACTGAAGAGTCCCAGGTTCAATTCTGGTCAAGGGCACATGCTCAGGTTGTGGGCATGATCCCCACTGGGGGGCGTGCAGGAGGCAGCGGATCAATAATTCTCTCATCATTGATGTTTCTACCTCTCCCTTCTCTCCCTTCCTCTGCAAAATCAACAAAAAATATTTTTACTTATTTAAAAAAATTTTTCTGCATTTTTATTTTTAAAAGATATTTTTTATTATTTCAGAGAGGAAGGGAGAGGGAAAGGGAGAAGGAGAGATAGAAACATCAATGATGAGAGAGAATCGTTGATTAGCTGTCTCTTGCACTCCCCCTACTGGGGATTGAGCCCGAAACCTGGGCATGTGCCTTTGACTGGAATCCAATCTGGGACCCTTCAGTCCACAGTCTGATGCTCTATCCACTGAGCCAAACCAGCCAGGGCCATCCTGCCTTTTTGAGTGTGAATCTATGCCCAGGTCTTCTTGTGCCCGGGATACCCAGCCAGGGGATGGCAAAGATCAGAAGCTCTGGAAATGAGGGAGGCAGGAGTGGGTGAAGGTCTGTGGAAAGTCCTGAGATTCAGGGTGCCGAGGAAGGAGACACTCCGAGGGCTCCGCCACCCAGGGAAGTCTCGGGGCAGCTGAGGAACAGCGGGGTGCCCACTGCCGCCCGGTTGCTGGAGTCAGACTTTGAATTCAAAGCCCCTTTCTAGCTGTGTGACCCAAGCTCCTCGGCTGCAGTTTCCTAGTCTGTAAAATAGGGGTGATCATTACAGCTACCTCAGTGAGCCTCTGCTGTAAAGCACACGCAGCGGCACAGTAAGCGCTCAGACAGTAACCATTATTTACTTACTTACTTACAGGAAGGGAGAGAGATTGAGAGAAATCAACTTATTGTTCCTCTTATTTATGCACTCGTTGGTTGGTTCTTTCATGTGCCCTGACCAGGAACTGTACCCACAGCCATGGCATATTGGGACGATGCGCTAACCTGGCCCAGGGCTTAACCATTATTATTATTATTTAGCATTTATTAAGGGCCTACTGTGTGCCAGGAGCCCCATTAACATTGGGGCTTCCAGGCAGGTCTCTACCAGGAGGAAGCCATACCCAGAGCTCCTCAACTTCCCGAGCGAAGTAAGACCCGGTTTTACAGCAGGGGCCGGGCCCCTTCCAGCAAGGTTTAGGGAGGAGACCTGGGGACGCTGCAGGCACGTAGGGCCATGCACAGCTCCCCTCGTTTGCAGAGGCTCCCAGGAGGGCCCAAGGCTGGCAGAAGGGCTTGGGAGCCATCGCCGTGTTTCTGGCCCGGCTGCAAAGAGTAGCTGATGGTTTCCTGGGAGTGGAAGGCCCTTGGTGTCCCCTCTGCCAGAGCCCGGAGCCTTCGTTCCCTGGGTTAAAAACAGCCCTACCTGCTGGGATGCGTGCCTTTAGCCTGGGCCGGGGCGAATCTGGAGGATGTGAGGTGTAGGCGGACCACGCTGGGGTATTGGAGTGGGAGATATCAGTGTGGCGTAGCAGGCGGATGGGATAGGATGTGAGCTGTGGCTGCGTCCTGGATGGGTGTGCGGGGTACCTGTTCTGTGAAGAGTCTGTGTGGGAGAGGCAGGCAGTATTGAGTGTATGCCAGGTGGGTATCATTTATGAAGTGTAGTGTGGGATGTGTGGGTGAGGTGTCAGGGGTCATGCAGTCGGAGATGATATTGGAGATGTGACGTGTTGAAGGCATGTGTGTGCTGTGTTTTGGAGGCATGTGGTGCAGGAATTGTGAGTAAGGTATTATAGATACGTGGAGGACATATAGCCTCTGGAGTGTCAATGTTGTTGGTGGGTTCTGGGGAAATACAATGAGAAAACAAAATCTTCTCCCAACCCAGAAACTCTCTGCAGATATAGTAGAGACAGAAAACATTAAAAAACAACAACAAACAGCATTAAATCAGAACGGATGCACATCACAGGCAACCCACTAAAGACAGCGGTCGGCAAACTCATTAATCCACAGAGCCACATATCAACAGTACAACGATTGAAATTTCTTTTTTTTTTTTTTTTTTAAATATATTTTATTGATTTTGTACAGAGAGGAAGGGAGAGAGATAGAGAGTTAGAAATATCGATGAGAGAGAATCATCGATCAGCTGCCTCCTGCACACCCTCTACTGGGGATATGCCCGCAACCAAGGTACATGCCCTTGACCGGAATCGAACCCGGGACCTTTCAGTCCCCAAGCCGACGCTCTATCCATTGAGCCAAACCAGTTTTGGCTGAAATTTCTTTTGAGAGCCACATTTTTTAAAACTTAAACTCCTTCTAATGCCACTTCTTCAAAATAGACTCGAAGAGCCACACTCAGGGGCCAAAGAGCTGCATGTGGTTCAAGAGCCGCGGTTTGCTGACCACTGCAATAAGAGATGGCAAAGGCAGAAAGACATTCACCTTTTGCATAGCCAAACAGGTACAACCCATCATCCTGTTTTGTTGGTTTTTTTTTTGTTTTTTTTTTTTCCAACATAGGCTTTTATTGCATCTTTAAAATCTTGCAAATGAGTGTGGCAAATCATTTGGCATCTTGCTATTCCTGTAGCTGGACAACTTAGATCTCACTCATCAGCCTGCTGAACTGTTCCTTTTTCAGAAACATAGATGCCAGCCAAAATTCTTCTGATATCCTTGTTTTTAACTTTGTGGCTTGCTGAATCAAAGCAGCTGAATTTGATATAAGTTCAATGTCATTTCCTTCGAGAATCAACTCATCTTTCTGGGCCTGAGATACTGAATGAGCAACGTCTGACCTCATCTGAACCCTAGGGATGTATTTTTACCCAAGAAATCTCTGATTTCAACAGGAGACCCATTCTCCTGAATAACGGCACTGATGGAGAAGGGAGAGGACGTGCAGCTCATTCTGTAACGGAAGCTCAGGGTAACACCTTGATCCTGTTCTGAACATGACGCAAGTGGTGTGAACGGTAGCCAGTTCCCTTCTATTTCCCTACCTTTTGTCAACACGGAGCCGCTTCCTTTTCTTTCCGGGGAGACTGAGCTCTATATGGATGTGACCGGAGTCCCTTCGTAGGGCACCTGTGAGGCCCCGCACAGTCACTGTGCGTCCCTGCAGGGGGACGCCCACATTTTCTGGGATGTCAGCAGTCTGATTGCTGAGAATGGTCCGTCCTCACAGTAGATGTGGCAAAGAGCCATCATCCTGTTTTTAAATTTTTTATTTATTAAATTTAGAGAGTGAGAGGCTCCACTTATTTATGCATCCATTGATTAATTCTTGTATGTGCCCTGACCAGGGTTGGAACCCGCAACCTTGGTGTATCCAGACATAACCAATTGAGCTACCGTCGGGGCCAAGATAAAATTTCAAAATCCGTATCTTGTTTTCCAAATAAGCAATGAATATGCCTCAAGTAAGCAGACTTGACAGCACCTTTAATTGCACATAGTTCATCCTAACTTTATAATGGTAGTTGGCTTTTAGTGTGGGGGGGAGGGAGAAACAAACTTCTCACGTGGGGAGGCGGTTGGGTACACTGCAAGGCCCTGAGCAGTTATTCTCCCCCTTAACTGAGGGATAGAGAGGGATCTTCCTTAATGTTGCACTTCAAAAGGATGGCTTCCAATCCTGAGGTCCTGTTTGAGGCTGGCAAGAGGTTCACTTAGCAGTTATAAAGATTTACATGAACTTGAAAAGTTCTGAAAGAAAAGGGCGCAGGGAGGAGTCAAGTCCCTTATTTTCAAGAAGGAGAATTAGCCATGGCTGGTTTGGTTCAGTGGATAGAGCATTGGCCTGCGGACCGTAGGGTCCTGGGTTCGATTCTAGTCAAGGGCATGCACCTCGGTTGTAGGGCATGTATCTCAGTTGTAGGCTCCTCCCTGGCCTGGGAAGTGGTAGGAGCTAATGCAGGAGGCAACCAAACAATGTGTTTCTCTCACATCAATATTTCTCTCTGTCTTTCCCTCTCTCTTCCACGGTCTCAAAAAAAAAAAAAAAAAAAAAATCAACCGAAAAATATCCTCTGGTGAGGATTAAAAAAAAAAAATATGGAGAATTGTGGCTCCTATTTTTCTTTTTCTTTTCTTTTCTTTTTTCTTTCTTTCTTTCTTTCTTTCTTTCTTTCTTTCTTTTTTTTTTTTTGGACTAGGGTTAGGGTTAGAGTTAGGATTAGGGTTAGGGTTAGGGTTAAAGTTAGGTTTAGGATTAGGGTTAAGGCTAGAGTTCAGGATCAGGTTCATGGCTCATATTTTTCATTTGTATTGTTCTGGGAGGATACTGTGTTCGAGTGTTATGGATGGAAGTGGAGTTCTTGGGGTGCGGCCAGGAAAAGAGTTTCCTGAGACCCCATGGGAGGGTGAAGTTTCATGGGAGGTTTTATTTATAATGTAAAATTAAGGGGGTTCCCCTCCAAGATCCTATCTCTGTCTGCCTCACCATGGAAGAAGTCCATTCTTGTTTTTAGCAGGGCCAGAATCAAGGCCACTGCCCAGAATTTCTGTCCCATATTAAAGTACAGTGCAGCCCTACTCCATTTGGCTCAGTGGTTAGAGCATAGGTTGGGCCATATGCAGGAGGCAACCAATTGAGATGTCTTTCTTATGTCAATGTTTCTTTCTGTCTCTATCCCTCCCTTCCACTAAACAAATATCCTTGGGTGAGGATTAATACACACACATATGCACAATCCAGTCCAGTTCAGCATTCGGCGAGCTTAACTTGTGCTCCCAGCTGCAGTCCATCGCGTGTGGAGTCTGTTCGGCCATGGGCCTTGGAGCTGCTTAGTGCCATATGACTATGGAGGGAGAACATGTGATCCCACGGGCAAGTGTGGGGTGCAGAGCAAGAGAGAGAAAGCACAAGAAAGAGGGAACTCTTTTTGTCTGGAGATTTTACTTTATTTTTAAAATATGTTTTTATTGATTTTTCAGAGAGCGAGGAAGGGAGAGGGAGAGAGAGAGAAACATCAATGTGAGAAAGAAACATCTATCGGCTGCCCGATGGGGAGCAAAACCTAGGCATGTGCCATGACCAGGAATTGAACCAGCAGCCTTTCGGTGCACAAGGCAATGCTCAACCAAATGAGCCACACAGGCCAGGGATTTTAACCTTCCAAGATTTTGCATGCTCCTGAGGGAGTTCACCCCCCAGCCAATCCATTGTTCCCCAGGCTAAACTGACAGGTAGCACTTTCCCGAAGTCACCTTGACTTCACTTTGCATGTGCCCGTCTTCCTCTTTGTTTGTTTCCTTCCCACAGTAAGATGTAGGGAATGGACTGGAGGTTCCCTGGGGAACGTGAAGCTGTAGCTTCCTGGTGAAGCTGCCCAGATGACCATACTTACAATGTTTGGCCTCCCCCCCCTTTTTCTTTCTTTCTTCCTTCCTTCCTTCCTTCCTTCCTTCCTTCCTTCCTTCCTTCCTTCCTTCCTTCCTTCCTTCCTTCCTTCCTTCCTCTCTTTCTTTTTTTCTTTCATTATTATTTAAAAACTATTTTTTGAATTGATTTTTTTTTTTAGAGAAAGGAAGGGGATCAGAAAGAAAAAGTGAGAGAGAGAGAGAGGGAGAGAGAGAACTCATTGATTGGTTGTCTTCCACACAAGTCCCAACTGGAGATTGAACCCACAACCTGAGAATGTGTCCTGATCAGAAATCAAACCGGCCACCTTTTGGTGTATTGGACGATGCACCAACCAACTTAGCCACATTGGTGAGGGTTCTTTCTTTATTAATATTAACCAGCTAACTACAAGAATAACAGGTATATGCAGTTGACATTGTGTGTGGAATGTATCTGTCAGGATGTCTGGTGTGAGGGAGGGTTTGTATGAGTTTGGAGGCAATTTGGAGAGTTGAATGGTATTAAAGTGTTAGTCCAGGGTGTTTACTGTGTGGATTCTGCATGTGAGGGGTGTGTGTGAGAGAGAGTGGGTGACACATGGAATTAGTTCGGAACATGATTGGGAGAGACACTAATGGGGACATCATGAAGCCTCGGGCCTAACTCTGTGATTTCATGTCTCCCCTGCCCCCCCCCCCCAAACCAGTAGAGAATTATTATGAGTTTATTTGAGCCAAACTGATCACAGATATTGGGGGAGCAAGATCTCAAATACTCCTCTAGGCTCTGGCTTGATAGCTCCGTTGGCTAGAGCTTTGACCTAATAAGCCAAGATTGCAGGTTTCATTTCCCATCAGAGCACATGCGGGGCCTCGAGGTTCAATCCCCAGTAGGGGGCGCGCAGGAGGCAGCCAATAGATGTTTCTCCTGGATGGTTCTATTTCTACCTCTCCCTTCCTCTTATGAAATCAAGAAAAACATTAAAAAAAACCAAAACACATAAAATTTAAAAAAAATAGTCAACCAGTGAATGCACAAATAAATGGAATGACAAATTGATGTTTCTTTCTTTCACTCTTTAAAATCAACAGATAAAAAATAAAATAAAAAATATTTAAGAAACCGGTTTGGCTCAGTGGTAGAGCGTCGGTCTGCGGACTAAGGGTCCCAGGTTCGATTCCGGTCAGGGGCATGTGCATTGGCTGCGGGCACATCCCCGGTGGGGGGTGTGCAAGAGGCAGCTGGTCGATGTTTCTCTCTCATCAATGTTTCTAACTCTCTCTCTCCCTTCCTCTCTTAAAAAAAATATATTTAAGATGCTTCCCTTTCCTAATTACACTGAACCTTTTTTTCTGACAAAGGCCATTGGATATTTATAACATCACTAGAGGCCCAGTGCATGAAATTCGTGCAAGTGTGTGTGTGTGTGTGTGTGTGTGTGTGTGTGTGTGTGTGTCCACTCCCCACTCTTAGTAGTGCTTGAGGACTACAGTTCCCAGGATGCCTGGCCCCACCAAACAGGAAAACGGAAGTCTTTAATGGGCGGGATTTCGATAGGCTGGTTTAAGAGAGGCAGCCCAGCCAATGGGTGATCTCGGTAGAATTGAAACCTACACTAATTACCTCAAGGCTCATTGGAATCTTTGGCGCCATGGTTTCAGTGGCGGATGTGTGATGGACGGGCGAAGGGACCACTGAAAGGGCAGGAAGGCGGATCCAGAGCGCATGGGCGGGAGGAGTGGTGACTAGCAGGCCGTTCCGCCAATGAGCGGCGGAAGTCGCGGGAGGGGGCCGGGCGGGTAACCCAGAGGCGGCGGACTTCGGCGGCGGGGTCAGTGCGATGGCGGAGCCGGTGAGGAAGCGGGGCCGGCGCGCCAGGGGCGGCGGTGGCGGCCGAGGAGCTCGGGGGGGCCGCGGCCGGCGCCCTGGCGCCCAGCGGAGTCCCGCCCGGCGCTCCGTGGAGGCGGTGCTGGTGGACTTGGTCAGCGACAGCGAGGAGGAGATCCTGGAGGTTCCAGCGGCGCGCGGCTCCGCGGACCCGGCCGGAGCCCCGGAGTCCCCCGCGCCGGCCGCGCCCCCCGACCGCCGGGACGACAGCGACAGCGACAGCGAAGGGGCGGACGCACGGCCGGCCGGAGCCCCTCGCACCCTGGTCCGGCGGCGGCGGCGGCTGCTGCTGGCCCCGGGCGAGGCGCCGGCGGTGCCGGTGTACTCCGAGAAGGTGCGGCTCCCGGGCGCGGGAGGGCGGGGTGGGGGCGAGGGCCGGAGGGGGGCGTTCTCAGGGGTCTGGCCCCGCAGGTCCTGGAGGCGGAGGCAGGTCCTGGGGTTTCTGCAGGCGGGGGAGCTGACGGGGTCGGGCGTGTGCAGGAGCTTGGGATTCCCGCCGGGGGCGGAGGGCGGCTCTGGGGCTGGCCTCCCTGGCAGCGTCTGGGGCCGGGATTTGGGGCTTGTCCGATTTGGAGGTTGGAGCCCATCGCTAAGGACCCAGGAAGCTGGGGTGTGGGGGGCTGGGGGTTAAGGAAGTTCAGAGAGAACTGGGGGCCCGTGATGGTGGATGAGCTAGGGAGCTGGGATTCCCTGGGATTCTAAGATAGCGGGATGGCTGGCAACCTAATGCAAACGTAGAACCAAACCTGCATCTCAGAGGCCCAGGGAAGGACGTGTGTGTATGGGGGTGGAGGGGGGCGCCCGCGCTCAGGGCAGAACAGCTGTGGGTCCTGGGAAAGCCCCGGGTCCGGGAGGAAGGCTGTGGTGCCCGTGTCCTCAGGGAGGGCTTGGGGCTGATCCACCGTTGTCTTCGCAGGTGAAGAGCAGCCTCCAGCTCCTCCCAGACCACCTGCCCCTCCTGAAGCTCTGTCCCCCTGGGGCTGAGGAAGGTAAGGACCGGCTTTCGGGGAGAGGCCGGGGGAGTGTACATCCCTGCCGCTCCAGGGACGGAGAGGTGGCTCCTGCCTCCCAGCCAGAAAAATGCCCCAGTCTGGGAAGGCACAGGAAGTGCTGTCAGACCCCCCTTCTTCCCACTCCGGTAGGTATGGAGTGTGCTGACATGCAGATTTCCAGGCCCCGTCCCTGGGGATTCTGGTTCTGCATCTTGGGGACAAGGAGGAGGAGGTGGTGAGAACCTGCAACCTTGTTACATTGGCACCAAGCTCCTCGGGAACACTCTGGAGCTGCCAGGATGTTCTGAGTTTTATCAGGGCCGCCCAGCCCTCGTCCTCCCCCAGGGATCCGATGTTTGCAACCCACCCAAGGGCAGTGACTGGGAATCACATTTAATAAGGGAGCGATCCAGTGGGCAATTCCAGATCTAGGGCCAAGACTTCTGTGCTGTGAGGGAGGGTGGTAGGGTGAAGAGCTGATTTAGGAACTAGCTGGTCTGGGCTTGTAAATTTTTTTGGGGAAAGGGTCTGGTTTTGAATCCCAGCTCTGCTCATTAGCTGAGTGGCCTTGGGCAAGTTCATCTCTCAATGCTTTGATTTCCTCCTCAGGAAAATGGAGGTAATAGTGGACCTGTGTCAAAGGGTGTTAGTGGGAATTAACTAAAGAGAACATCTGGGCAGCTCTCTCTTGGGGTACAGCATCTGGCGTGTAGACATGCTATGTAAAGGTACCTTCTTCCTTGCTCCTCAAAATGCGGGCCCAGCTCGAGCCCCAGTGCATGGGAAGCACCTCAGCCCCACATTCAATGTGGGCCACCTCCTGAGAGCTTGTCAGAAATGCAGAGTCTCAGGCCGCTGACAGCTGCCACAGTTAGCTCGGACAAGGTTTCTTAACAGCAGCACTACTGACCCGGGGCCCGGTGATTCTTTGTTGTGGGGCTGCGCTGTGCATTGGGGATATTTAGCAGCATCCTGATCTCCTACCCGGGATCGCAGCCCAAACCCCTCCCCCTTGCATTGTGGCAACCCAGATATTCTCAAGATAGTGCCCCATATCCTCCTCCGGGAGGCAAAATTGCCTCTGATAGAGAACCACTGATTCGGATCTATCATCATTGTTTTGTTTTAAGAGTATTAGTCTTTTTTCTTTTTTTCTTTTACATTTTTTATTAAATTATTGTCTGTGTACATATTTTAACATTGCAGAGTATTAGTCTTTATGGTTAATGATGGCCTTTTATTGGTGGCAAACAGGTAGAAAAGAGCTCTATTCTACCTCTTTTCTAGAATAATACCTGGTTTCTGATTTCACAATGCATACAAATACTGAATTATATTCTATATCCTAAACTAATAAAATGTTATCTATCACTTATACCTCAACAACAAGGGAAAAATACCTTTTTTACTTTTACAAGGAATTAAATGATCAAAAAAAGTTACTAAAATGTCAGTGCAGAGAGATATGGAAAAATGTGATGACACTCATGGATAACATTGGAGAAACATGGGCTTAGAGGGTCTGTGCTCCTTTTTCTTTCCCTCATTCCCTGCTTGCCCCAGTGCCCACTCACATGGTCTCTCTGCCCACCGAACTGAGTGCAGGAAGAAATGGAAACATTTTAAAATACCAACCAGTGACAATACCTATATGTGTTACAGTATACCTGTATGTGTTACAGTATACATAACAGTATGAGCATGTGTACTAATAGTATTATACTCATAGCATTAAGTAGTATAATAGCAGTATTAATGCATGCTTTCTGGGTTGTGTGCTTGATGTTTCTTATTTGTGGGGTACATGTGATCACAAAGGGGAGTGGGCCACTTATCAGTAGTCCACACCTGCCACGGTGTCTCACCCCTCATGTCGCACGTACGAGGCTCGGACACGCTCCTGCTCTCCTCTGAGTTAAGGTTTCCCCCTGAGCGCTTCCACAGGATTGTGATGGAGCCCGTGGCTCCCACAGTCTGCTCCTTCCTGAGGATTCCCGAAGCCCCGGCTTGGTCTCCTCTCCTTGGCCTCTGGCTGCCCTCTCTGGGTAACCCTCTCTACTCTCTCCTCTGTCCCCAGAGGGGGAGATGGCGGACTCCAGCAGTCCCCATGCTGAGGACCTCCCAGACCCTGACTCTCCCTGGAAGAAGAAGCTGAGGAGCAAGGCTGAAGAAGAAGAAGAAGAAGAAGAAGAAGAAGAAGAAGAAGAGAAAAGTTCGGTGTCGCTGTGAGTGAGCTGGGCACTGAGCCTCAGGAGCGGGAAGGGAAGGGAGGGGAAGGCTGAGGCGAGCAGGGCCCTGGGTGGCTGAGAAGGGTGAGGAGAGGGATGGAAGGAGTCAGGCTCAGGGGAGGAGTGAAGCTCCTGGGGAAGAGGCGGGCTACGGGAGAGATGGCAGTAACCTCATGGCCGCTGTGGGAGGGGAGCGCTTTTTCTTTGCGTCTGCGATCGTGGGAACGCAGGGGTGACGGTGCGGCCAGTGGTTCACATCCAGCCAGCTGCCTCTTCCCTGTCCTCCCACTGCTGCTGCCCTTTGCTCTTCTGTAAGATGGTGGACAGTGGTACCTGCCAGTAGATTAGTACTTGGCGCCTGGCTGGTTGGCCTGGTTAGTTGGGCATCGTCCCAGGCACCAGGAAGGCACAGGTTGATTCCTGGTCAGGGCACATGTCTGGTTGTAGGTTCGATCCCCAGTAGGGGGCGGCAAAAAGCAGCTGCTCAGTGGCTCCCTCTCATTGACAATTCTCTCTTCTCCCTCTCTCTCTAAAATCAATAAAAACATATTAGTAAAAAGAAAAGTTAACACTGGCATATAGTAAGCATTGTCGCCCTGGCCCGTGTGGCCTGTTTGGAGCGTATTCATGAAAGGATCAAGGTTCTATTCCAGTCATGGTACAGGCCCAGGGGCAGGTTTTGTCCCCAGTCAGGGTGCTTACGGGAGGCTACTGATCATGCCCCTCTCCCGCCCTGACCCACCCACCACCTTCCTCTAAAATCAATAAGCATATCCTCTGAGGATTAGGGGGAAAGAGGCATTTTCTTCTGTATAAAAATGATACTCAGTCTTCCTGTCCTCCCCCCTCTTTGTCTTCAGTGAGGTGGGTGCTATGGAACGTGTTCCCTCTTGCTTCTCTGACTCCCCCTCCATAGCCCATGAGGGGCGTGAGACTGGGGTCTCTCCTCTTCCTCCATCTTGCCTTTCTCGTCTCTGCAGGTCTCAGGACACCTCTCCTTTGCCCTCACCTCTGCCAAGGACCAAGAGCAGAAAACATACTCGAGCTCTCCAGAAGTTAAGGTGCCAGCTGGTGGGGGAGAGGGGCAGGCGGCCCGGCCGGGGGGGGGGGGGGGGAGAGGGGCAGGCGGCCTGGCTGGGGGGAGAGGGGCAGGAGGCCTGGCGGGGGGAAGAGGGGCAGGAGGCCCGGCCGGGAAGCAGAGGGGCAGTGCGGAGGCCCCCCTCTCCCCCCCAGCTGACCCAAGTCCCTTTCCTCCTCAGGGAGGTGAACAAGCGCCTCCAGGATCTGCGCTCCTGCCTGAGCCCCAAGCAGCGGCAGGGCCAGGACCTCCTGAGCCAAGACGACGAGGTGGTCCTTCTGGAGGGGCCCGTTCTCCCAAGGAGCCCTCGGCTCTTCCAGCTCAAAGTCCGCTGCCGCGCTGACCTGATCAGATTGCCCGTCACCATGGTAAGCGCGCAGGGCCTGTGTGAGGAAGGTCCCAGGAGAGGCCGTGGCCAGGCAGAGGGCACGGCCTGCTCTTTGAGGCTCCACGCCTCTGTGCTCACTATTCCCTCTGTCCGGATTGTCTTTTATTAGCTCTCCCCTTTCTGGCAAAATTTCCACCCAGGGAAAGGGGTGGAAGGAGTCCTCAGGCTAAGCATCCTGAGGAGCTTTTCGTGGCAGCCCCCTCCCAGGACATGTCTCCTCCCTCCTCTTCCCCTCAGGCCCTGCCTTTTCTCTGACTCCGCGCTCTCACTGCAGTAGACACGCAGACCCTCCAGCGTGCTCAGCTCCCCCACTTCCCAGTGACTCCGTCCAAAAATAAGAATGATAACAGCAAGGAGCCATAGCCGTGCGTTGGCAGGCAGCTAAGCCAGAGCTTGCAAACTGCAGCCGTGGCCTTGTCAACAGGGCATCTTCCTTCTTTACCTGCCGAGAGCCTTTAAAGCAGAGGCGTTTACAGCAACAACAACAGAAAAGCCACCCAGTTTGGCTCAGTGGATAGAGCGTTGGTCCTTGGACGTAAAGGTTGCTGGTTTGGTTCCGATCAAGGGCATGCATCTGGGTTGGAGGCTCGATTCCCGGCCCGGCCGGGGCTTGTGCAGGAGGCAACCAATCCATGTGTCTCTGACATCGATGTCTCTCTCTGTCTCTCCCCCTCCCTTCCACTCTAAAAACCAATGGAAAAATGTTCTTGGGTGAGGATTAACAAAAAGCAAATACACAAACAAAAAACAAGATTGCTTGCCAGCCTTTGCGGTAGGTCATTTCATGCAAAGGTCTGGATGCCTGGCTTCTCTTAAATAGGAAGGCATAGTCACGGGCAACATCGATCCGCTGCCTCCTGCACTCCACCTGCCGGGGTTGAGCCTGGAACCCAGACATGTATCCTGACGGGGAAATCACACCAGCGGCCTCTGGTGCGTGGGACAACACCCAGCCCACTGAGCCACCCGGGCCAGCCTCGGCTGGGCTGCTTAGATGGGGCACGTGAGCCCCGCTGCGCTGCAATCCGCACCCTCCCCTTTTCCTCCTAACCCATGGTTGCTTCCTTTCTTTGTGTTACTTGCCCGAACCCCTATTGACATGACTTTATTCTGCATTTTCCCAGGAAAACATGACGCAACTCCTAGCCGAGGAGCTTGAGTAGCAAAGGCCACAAACTTGTGTCGGGGGCGGTGAGATGGGGGCTGCAGGGCAGAAGGCCTCCTTGCTTCTTATCTCCTTCCCAGTCGGAGCCCCTGCAGAGAGTGGTGGACCACATGGCCACCCACCTCGGGGTGTCCCCAAGCAGGATCCTCTTGCTCTTTGGAGAGACAGAGCTGTCCCCCACGGCCACCCCCCGGACCCTGAAGCTTGGAGTGGCTGACATCATTGGTGAGAGGAGGGCAGGGAGGAGGAGCCTGAAGGAGGCTTGCTGCAGGGGATAAAGGGAAAGGCCGGGGTGGGGGCTTACTTCCAACCCCAGCGCCCCGATCCTGCCTCCGCAGACTGCGTGGTGCTGGCGAGCTCCCCCGAGGCAGCAGAGGCCGCCCACCTGCTCCAGCTGCGCGTGCAGGGGAAGGAGAAGCACCAGACCCTGCAGGTCTCGCTGTCCCGGGTGAGTGGGGGATGCTCTCCGCGCCCCTCCCCTGCCCCTGCCTCCTCTCGGCAGTTAATGCGGGTGGATTCCTTCCAGTCCTGGTTTGCTGGGCACTGCCCTCCCTGGCCTGGTTCCCGCCCATCCTAGAGAGGGGAAAAGCCCACCATTCAACGTCCCTCCCCCTTCTGCTGGGAACCTCTGCCTGGTCTCCTGTCTCCTTCCAGTTGAAGTAGAAAGGACTTGGGACGGTAACCACCAAAATCCATCAAAATTACAAATTAAGGCCACACTTGTAAGTGACAGAGGGCACTGAATTTCACAACAATCTTATGGGAAAGTAGTTACCCTCACTTAACAAACAAGGGAACTGAGGTCTAGGGAGGGGGGGTGACTTGTGTCCTAGGGTCCTGTAACAAACCTCCACAATCTGAGAGGCTTAGAACTACAGGATGCATTCTGTCACATGCTGGGGGGAGAAATCAGGAGGCGAAGGCACCAGCAGGGTCACTCCCCGAGACCTTGTAGGATCCTCCTGGCCTCTTCCAGCTGACCCTGGGGTTCCTAGCCGTGCCTGCCCCACTGCAGCCTGCCTCTGCTGTCACATGGCTTCTCCCTTGATGTCTTTTCTCTTCTTACGAGGACACGGTCATGTTGCATTAGTGCCCGCCCTAGTCCAGTATGACCTCATCTTGGTTACATCTGCGAAGGCCCTACTTCCAAGTGAGGTCACTTCACACCTCCCAGGAGGTAGGACCACAAGGTACCTTTTTGGAGGGAACACAGTTCAAACTGTAACACTAGCCTAAGGACACACATCCAGTCAAGGGGGAGAGCCTGCCTCCAGCGCCATCATTCTCACCCTGGAATCATCGCGATGTTTGCCTCCAGGGGTAGGTGGGGAGACGGACTTGGAGAACCTGCCTGACGCCGGGCCGCCATCCTGTGCTGTGGGCTCTGCGGCCTGATTCCCTGGAGGAACCAACTCTCCTGGCTTCTTGGTCCACTCGCCCTTCCCTCCAGGGCAGGACTTTACTGTCCCCTGGTCCTCCCTGTCCCAGTCCTAGTCCTCTGTCCCTGTGAGTTCTTCCCAGCGCCTTTCATTGACATCAGCTTTCCCTGTCTGTCCAGGACTCTCCTCTCAAGACCCTCATGACCCACTACGAGGAGGCCATGGGACTCTCCGGTCACCAGCTCTCCTTCTTCTTTGATGGGACAAAGCTTTCAGGCAAGGAGCTGCCGGCTGATCTGGGCATGGAATCCGGGGACCTCATTGAGGTCTGGGGCTGAAACCCCACTCCCTGTTGGGAGGCCCTCGTGGGCCCCCCACTACTGGACTTGGACAAGAGCTGCCCTGTGGCTCTGAAGGGCTGGCGGAAGCTGAGGTAGAACTTATTTTTAAGTGGAAGCAAAACCGAGGCTTGGTGTTTACCCCCTCCTGTTGACTTGAGTGTCACACTGCTGGTGCCCCGGTTGGTTGTGTTTGTCATTGCTGCCCCGGGGGACTGTGGCTCCATGCACAAGGTGTGCTGAGCTTTGCGATCCCCCCCGCTGGGACATTCTCCACCCCCACCTTTTCACTTCCACCATCACCCTTTCCTTCACTGGACTGCTCATGTTTGAAGAGGGAGAGGAGTAAAGAGGGTTGAGAATGGGATTCCAGCCCTGGGACTGACGCCACACCTAGGACAGCAGTGGCTGTAGTGTCACTGGGGAGAGGTGGGGAGGTTTGCTTGAGGCACACAAGCAGGAAAAGAAAGGATCACGCCCAGACAGGCAGGAGCTCACACAGGCAGACGGGGCTGCTCAGTGAAGGATCTCGAAGGTTCTCGGCCTTGGAGTCAGTGCACCAGCACCTTAGAGCCCCTCCTGAGGCGCACACATCGCCGAGGCACCCTGAGCAGGGAAGCCTTTGTTTGGACCTCGGGCCTGGTCCACACCAGGCTCTGAGGGCCCTGGTTTCATGGCTCTTCTCCCTCCACGCCATCTTCCCATAAGCACGCACTCTAGGATGCCGATGACCGGTCTCTGATTATGAGTGTGTCCTTGTACACGCAGTGCTGCACGTGTGAATGTCCTTCTCGTGTACGAGGTGTGCTGTGATCTGTGCGGCTCCTTTTCTCACCCAGCACATGTTGTTTGTTTTTCATCGACCTTGTTCCTCAGTGGGCATCGTGTGTCACGTACACGTTCACTGGTGGCCCCCTAGGCGACTCCATCCCTCGTACCCACACCCCCTTGGCACAGACACAGACACAGCCACGACGAATACCCGGCTGTGTCCCCTTCCACGCTGGTGTGGCAAGTCCGCTGGCACAGATACCAGGACAGGGCTGTGGGCCAGGCTAATTTCTCTTCCACCAGATTTTCCTTAGGTGGTCACTGAGCCTCCACTGGATGCTCCCCGTTTCTCCCGCCCACTGGCTCTTTGACTGCCAGGTCCTCTTTGCCAGTCTGCCGGATAAAGTGGCGCTGTGTTCTAATGGACATTGATTTCATTCCCAGGAATTTAGGAAATTTCTTCATGTACCTGTCAGCCTTTCTGGTTTCCCTTTCTGTAAGCTGTTCATTTCTCTGTTCATTAATTTGTTTATTCTCAAGAGTTGCTCGTATATTCCTGGGCAATTGCAAATAACTCAGAGTGACACTTGGATTTATATATCTGGGCGTGCCCTTTACTAAACAGACATTTTAAATTTTAATTTAGGTGAATGAATTGTCTTGTTAGTAATCTGTTGCTCTTTGATTTATTTAAAAGTAAGATATTTTGCATTTTGTTAGCTTACGGGCTCTTCCTTTCTTTTTGTAAAAATATTTTATTGATTTTTACAGAGAGGAAGGGAGAGGAACAGAGAGTTAGAAACATCCATGAGAGAGAAACATCCATCAGCTGCCTCCAGCACACCCCCTATCGGGGATGTGCCTGCAACCAAGGTACATGCCCCTGACTGGAATCGAACCTGGGACCCTTGAGTCCTCAGGCCGACGCTCTATCCACTGAGCCAATCCGGTCAGGGCCTGGCTCTTCCTCTCACGTGTAGGCTACGAAGTGGGGCTGAAGTCCAGCTGGTGGCACTGGCACTGGCCGTGGCTGGTGTGTGCCCTGCATGGTTACACATTTCTTCTCGTTGGCTGATTCTAGGCTGTACTGGCTGCTAGGTAATGAGGATTGCTTTTAAACTACTTAAAATTCACATTTGTATATGAGATCCAAGTCTTATTTTCATTATGTAATGAGCCAGTTTCCTCAGTGTCTACTAAAAAGCCATTAATTTTTCCACTAGATGTGGTATAATTTTGGCAATAGTATCTCACATTCTTAAAATATTTTTTGTTTTAGAATGTGGCATTCTTTTGACCTGTATTGTAGGAAAGAAACCTTTATAACATTTAAATAATATATAATATAGTATAGCTTTCTTTTTTTTTCAGATCTTTTATGTCTGCTAATAACTTTGAACACATTAAAATTATATATATTAAGTCTGAGCAGAATAAATGGGAATACATTCCACTTGTGTGTACTTGAGGATTGATTTCTGTCTTTGCGGCCCTCATTGTCCCCTCACATCATTGTCCCTCCTTCCAGGGTACCAGAGGCTTCAAAATGAAGCCAGCACTTCCCGGGCTCCATGCCGCTGGTCCAGGCTCCTGGGTGCCAGGGGTGGAGGTCCCAGGTCCAGGATGCAGCCATAGTGGGCAGTGCCTCCCCTCCCCTTCGCTTTCTTCCTGGAAGGGGAGCAACCCAGCTGACAGGAGGTGACTTGGGTAGAAGCCGCACCGGAAGGCCAGGGAGGGGCTCAGCCTTCGAGCAGCGCTTGGCCAGCCTTGTCCTCTGTGCTGCAAGGGGGAGGGAACTGCTGTCCTGTTTAGGTCGCTGCTACTGGAGGCTTTCTGTTCTTGTAGCCAAACCCAGCGCTAGCCCCGGGGGTTGCTATTGCAGGCAGTATTGTAGTTGTTAGGTCCCCGGAGGAGGCCAGAATGGTGAGGGGTTACACATTTACACCGAGTGGCTGAGCCTGGACGGCTCCCGCACCCAGCGAAGGGAGTCAGCGGCTGGCCTTTTCTGGGCGGAGACTTCCTATGCAGACCTGGAGGGGAGAGAATGGACTGTGGTCACTGCACGAGAAATGTGGTCTCAGCAAAGGGAGTGTCCAAGGTTCCCGGGGGAGGGGTACCAATGCAATTGCTCCATCAAACCCAGCAGTGAGCCTCGGAACCAGGTGAGAGCCCAGGCTTGTACCCAGGAGTAATCGCTGGCCACTGAGTGCACCTCCCAGTGTCTCCGGAGAGCTGCCCGAGGGATCTCTGTAAGTCCATAAACAAGTGTAGAAGGTCCAGTTTCCTCTTCTCGTCCCCAGCACTTAGTCTGTGAGGACGTGGGAAAAAGCTAAAAAAATTTGCATTCTTCTATGAGGAGAAAGATTATGCATCCTTTTGACTGAAGAGATCGGTCACTTGTCAGATGATCTTTCTAAAACCCCTGTTTCCCTGGCCCCTGGGGCTCAGTTGGTTGGGTGTCCTTCCGTGCACCGTCTGATTCCCAGTCAGGAAACATGTCTGGGTTTCAGGCTCGATGCCTGGTAGGGGCATGCAGGAGGCAGCCAATCAACGTTTCACTCTCGCATTGATGTTTCTCTCCACCTTTCTTCTCTTCCTAAAAAAATCAATTTAAAAAATTAAAAATAAAACTCCTGATTAGAAACCTTCAAAACCACAGTGAGCTCTTACTTGGTGCCACACACCAAGCCTGGCACTTCTCATCTCATTCGTCCTCAGAGCAATCCCAGTAGGTTTTGTTATCACAGATGCCCCCCTTATCTGCAGTTTTACTTTTTGAGGAATCAGTTACCTGTGGTAAATCTCGGTCTGAATATAATGAAAAATTTCATGCCCTGGCCAGGGTAGCTTAGTTGGTTCATTGTCCCATGCACCAAAAGGTCGCCGGTTCGATTCCTGGTCAGGGCATATGCTTGTGTTATGGGTTCAATCCCTAGTCAGGGTGCATGCAGGAGGCAAACTGATCTATGTTTCTCTCACATCAATGTTTCTCTCCCTCTCTCTTCCTCTCTCTCTAAAAATCATTTAGACCGAAGCCTGTTTGGCTCAGTGGTAGAGCGTCGGTCTGTGGACTGAAAGGTCCCAGGTTCGATTCCGGTCAGGGGCATGTACCTTGGTTGTGAGCACATCCCCCAGTGGGGTGTGTGCAAGAGGCAGCTGGTCGATGTTTCTCTCTCATCGACGTTTCTGGCTCTCTCTCTCTCTCCCTTCCTCTCTGTGAAAAATCAGTAAAATATATTAAACAAATAAAAACCATTTAGATGATTCTAAAGTCTCTGTTCCCCTGGAAGACATTTAAAAAAATAAAAATTTCAAAAATAGTAAGTTTAAATTGCATGCCATTTTGAGTACCTCACTGTAATATCACATAGGCATTGTGTAATTTCACTTCATCGCCAGAAGGGTGCGTACATGAGATATTTGAGAGAGACCAGTCACATAACATGTTACAGTAAGTCAGGTGCCCTTAGCGACAGGATAATGTTCTAAGAAACGCGTCAAATCATTTCCTTGTGTGAGCATCACAGAGTGCACGTAACCACACGTGTGGCATAACCTGTACACTGCGGCTGAATGGGACAGCCTATTGCTCCCAGGAAATGACCCTGTATGGCACGTCACTTGAAAAGCAACATGAGATTAAATCAGGCACAAGAGGAAGCATTGCTGTCAAGTTAGCTGTTAATCTTTTACTACTCCTAATTTTTATATTAAACTTTCATAGGTGTTTATGTACAGGAAAATATATCTGTAGGGTTCAGTACTAGCCCAGTGCCAGGCCTCCCCTGGGGGTCTGGGAACGGATCCCCCGTGGAGAAGGAGAGCCTTCTGTATTCGATTTTACAGCCGAGAAACAGAAGCGGGAGAAGATTAATGAACCCGCCCAGAGCACACAGCCCCTGAACACCGAGCCGGACGGAGGAGCAGGCGGGCCTGACGCGTCTCAGGGTTTTGATGAGGCCAGCACTTCGCACACTTCCTTGTGCACACGTGTCAGCTGGGGAGCTTGAGAACATGCACGCGGTGGGCTCAGCGGTTCTGGGGTGGGCCTGAGAGATGGCTTTTCTGACAAGCTCCCGCGTGGTGCAGCACTGCGGACCACACGCTGAGTAGCACGGGGTTATTTTGCCTTTTTTCTAAAGCCTCACCTTCAGCACCTCCCACCGCCCCACCCGGCCCTTCCTTCTAGCAAGCCCCCCATGTTCTTGTTCATGTCCCACCTGAGCCCA